AAAACATTTCCTTCGGGCTCCGCTGCCCCTTTTACTTTGTTCTGATTGATCACCCCATCGTTTAGTCTCAGTTCCTGGTCAGTGTCAGACGACTGTATCGGTCCTTGCTCAGATCCAATCACAGCTTCAGGGACTGCTGATGTTTCAGCTTCCAGTGTATCTGCAGCTTCAGGGATGGAATCTAGTGTTAAATTGTCCACCTCTGTTGCACCTTCAGAAACAGAAACATCTTCTATTGGCATCTTCACTTCCAACTCTTTTGCTAGCTCCTCAGCTCCCTTCTGGAGCGAGTCACATGTTTCTTGCAGAGCGTCAGCTTCAAGACTCCCCACATCAGCCTTCACTTCTGCTAAAGTTGACTCAGGTATCATGGCTTCTGCTTTGCTGGCTTTCTCCTCTTCTTTCTCCAAAGAGTCTCTGTTAGCTGCTTCATGTGGATCCTGGGCTGAGCTGGTATTTATCATGGTGGCAGCTTTGGAAAGCTCTGCAAGAAAAAAGGTCTTTAACCAGAGTGAAACCTTCTCACCTTTCCTGGGTTTTTGTTAATTATTGTGTAGAAATAATGGATTTCTTTTAGGTGATTCAGTAGCAAGCAAGCAGGAATTTGTCACTACCTTTATCATACTCCATATACTACTCTGACAGGTTTATGCATGCAGCCAAAAATTTTATAAACATACAAGAAAGAAGAAACGTTTTTGTTTTTGCACGCAGTCATTACTGCCAAATTTAGACCCTTTACTGTTAGCGTCCGCTATGCTATATGAGCTCTCCTGCCATGATAAACAGAGCGTAACACAGATCTGAATACATCAGCTGGTTTCACTGATACCCACTTCAGCTTTTTGAATCAGATTGTACTAATCTTAAGATGATGACTGTTCCATTAGCCCTCCTAAAACTCCCAGTTCTGTTTTTAATGGATACATTTTGGTTTCCTAACCAAGCAGCAGCACAAAAAAGCTGTTTGTAGAAACATTTTACTCATATATTTACAGTGAATTAATTACACCACTATTACACCACTAAGTCGTGTCTACCAACTGTTACCCTGACTAAGCACATCCTGAATGTACTGACCTTCACCAACAGCAGGGGGCGCTGTGGCTGGCCTCCTTTCAGAGAAGAATTTGTCCAGACCTTTATCAGCTTCTTCTGCAGGCTGGGCCTTGGCTTTCTCTGTCAGCAGAGAGAAGACTGTGAGCAGTTTCTATTCCGTGGGGTAAATAATCTTCTTCATATTTTATCAAAGCAGGAGCTGAGATAACAGATACAGTTATGTTATTAGATTTTAACAAGTTTCTAGCACATAGCAGTACTTTTTGTTAGTGTTATGGACACATCAGACCACAGCACCATTTTGATTTTTAGAAGTAACCTTCGCCCACCATAAACACCTGCTTCTTATACAGACGCACGTTTATGTTGTGGTTTAATTAAACCTAGTTATTTTTTGCAGATGAATACCATCAAAAGAATGTGTCCTGTCATGCATTCTTAACAGGCCACTCAGCACGCATTAGCAGAATGCAAAATCGTCTTCCCTGTCAGGGAAACTAAAACTGGAGACTGGAAGGCTGGAGTACATGAGAGCTGTTTTACTTTTGTTTAGAGGATTTTTATACTGCAGTTGCATGAAATGTGGAACTTTTGACTGGAAACAGATGTAATTGTTTTAAGCTATCGCACTCATTCCTATTCACTGAGGACTATCTTTAGTTGCAGGCAATTTCTGCACAACAGGAAGTGTAATAACCCCCAAAATCAACTCCTATACCCTTCGTCTGCTGCGACCTTTGCTGCATACCGTACTTTTCTTTGTGTGTCTCTCTCTGTGACCTTGTTTCCAGCCTCTGTCTAGACTGCCAAAAGAAGACAAAAGGAGAGGACGTGTGTTTTCTTACTGATGTGTGTTCTGCGTGGCGGGTCTCTGTCTGATGGTTTGGAGCTGAACCGAGCAGCCTGTGGCGTCCACATCACTCTACAAAACTCCCCGTGGATCCGCTGAACATGCACACATACAGAACCACACATAAATCATGAATGCTCACATTTCATTGTAAAACTGTCATTTTTTTTAATGTCATTTACTTTCAAATTAACAACGAAAATAGAGTAAACCCCAACACTCATATGACCCCCTATAAGCAGATGCTTTGGCAACAGTGGGAAGGAAAAACTGCCTTTTAGCAGGAAGAAGCCGCCAGCTGAAGGGAGGGGCATCCATCTGCTGTGAATGGTTTTCAAGACCGTGCCTAAAAAGGGCCTGTGAGGTGGGACTAGAGTATTTTATTCTTACAATGGGCGTTATGTGTTGTAATAGTACTCAGTACACGAGAGAAAATGCTTATATTGCATAAACTGAAACTTATCTCGCTCTGCTTCTGAAACAATCTTTGCCTGTTGTCCATAAATATAATATAAAAATAAGAGAAAAACACCATCACAATTTTTTTTGATATAATATTAACAGAATCTTATGGAAGCCCGTTTCCACCACAAAAACAAAGGATCCATGACTCGAAATTTTTAGTTATTTTCTCGAAATAAAGTTAAATGGAAGTGTTTTCCCCCATTCATCTGATTTGGGATTAATAGGCGATTAATAGCCATAGTACCCGATATTTAGCCTCAAAATTTTGAAAAACCTTAAGCTTAAGAAGCATTTTACACAATAATAATTTAAAAAACATCTCTCAAAAAGTTTGAGAGTAGCAGTAACATCTAAAACAGCCCATCTTCATGCCCTCTTGCTACATGGGGTCACCAATTGTTTGATTTGGCAGTTTTATGTCGGGTGCCCTTCCTGACATAAGCCCAAAGAGGATTTGTGCTCTGCCTTCATCCTTTGAGATTTTTTTTTATTATTATTTTTGTTAAAGAAACCAAATAAGAGTAGGGATACAAAATTGTGCATATTCCCTTGGATTTTTTCATTTAAATGTCAGATGGTCAGGTCAGACGTATTTGGTGGACTGACTTGGAATTACGTCACACTCTCATTTCCAGGATGGCCTTGGAAAAGACAAACATAAAAAATGGAAAGGGATAAAAGAAAGAAAAAAAAAAAGAACCTGAATAGTAGCACAGGTCTGAGAACATTTTACACGCCCACTGGTAAAACACTGCCCCCTGGTGGTAACAGTGTATTTTACAAACAGTAGCCAGAAGAACTTTAATTAAATTCAAATTTCCACCTTACAGTGCACATGACGAGATTTCATTGTATTTGCTACAGTAGTGGAAATAATAAGCAGTATTTTAAACAAAATCTCAAAAACATGAGTGGTAAAAAGTCTAATTGTATATACAACTAAGTGCAGATAAATATGTTGCAAATGCCTGCGCCTACTTTTTATTGCACATTACAAACATTTAGCAGCTTTAAAGTCTGGGTTATTTAATATGCAGATATTAAACTACTTGCATAAATGATCTCCAGCTTATGAAACAATAACCATGATCCAATTTGACTGGTTAACTTGTGTAAAATGATTAGTCTAAATACTTGCAGTTATTTAGTATAAAACCACGCTTAGACTCCGTGACTGAGCGCCACTGCCATCTTTATTAGAGCACAGCGTTACTCATGAGCCTGAAAACCAGAGCCCAGTTAATCTAAACTGGACTCATTTACAATAAAATGATTCGGTTTCATGTGGGGCCTCTCAATATCAGTCCCTAGAGCTCTCTCAGTGATGATCTGAGGATTAGGATGTTACAGAGTTTCAGGGAATAAAACTAAAACTTGTTATCAGTGTGTGTGTGTGTGTGTGTGTGTGTGTGTGTGCGTGTGCATGCCAGGCTGTTAATCAGCTGTAAAGTAATGAGAAGCTGCAGACACAAACTCGTTCTATCAGCTACAGAATAAATGTAAAAATAAAGTATACCTACTCTGACACTCAGTCCTGTTGCAGCTCTGAATAGCGCAGCAGCCATGCTGGTTTAAATGAAATCTATCAGAAGTTTGGAGAAATATTCCCAGTGTGTGTTTGGGAAGTGATCCTGAGGGGTTTCCTCCCTCTCTGTGAAAGAACTGAATGTCCCGAGCCTCCCTCTCCTCCTGCGCCGCTGTTACCTGGGCCGGTTTAAATAAAGTTTTTTTCGGTGTGTTTTTGCTGACTGTCTCACGCGCTCAGCTCAGTTGTCGTTCTGCCTGTTTTTTCCCCCCCTTTTTTTCTAACAATGATTGCATAAAGAATTTGCTTATTTCCTGGTATTTTCAAAGTAAAAGCTGAAATAGTTCAAACACATCCAAACAAATGTTGCGGTCAGACGCAGATCGGTTGATGTGCTATTAGGTGCTTATGTTTGCTCGAATTAACCCCACCACCACTTCACTGCGATCAAATAATCTAGTATGATGTGCAAAATGTATTTGAAACCACTATAATTATTACACATTATAAACAATTATCAGGTATGTTACGAAGATTATTTTGCTTTCTTTTCAAAGTCACTGCTTTCTTTCTTTTTTTCTTTTGGTAAAAATAAATAAAAAAGAACATGTTAGAAATCTGAGTGCCTTTTACAAAGCCAGATCTGCATGCAGTGCCCGAACTAGGATGTTTTGAGAAGCATCATTGCTTTTCTACATACATTTTTACTTTAAACCTGCACAGACATTAGCTTTATTGAAGAACAATAATAAATAAAAGAGGGAGCCAACATGCCAAGAGCTTTGAATATCCTTCCAGAAGCCCAGAGAAAATTCCTGAAGACTGCTTACAGAAAGCTGCCTCAGAGAGTTCAGGCTGTCGGAGAATGAAGATCGTCACACCAGATATCGACTTTCAAGCTCGTGAGAACAGTTTTTGCCTCATATACTGTCTCTGTGCATGACTGCATCCGTGCCCCATTTTCCTAGTAAAACATTGAACAAATTAATGGTGGCTCAAGAATTTTGCACAGTCCTGTACATACATCTTTTAGTTACAGTCTATGATTGGATCATACAAGTAGTTAAATCCATAATGAAAACAGCAGCACAGGCAGTGCAGTTCTTGGTCCAACTGAAGTTTATTCTGAACACCGAAAGACAACAACGTACATCATCTTCTACAGTGATAATTAACAGCAGGCTGCCTTTATCGCTCATATATTAACTCTCAGATAACAGCAGTATTATACACAACCTGGAAGGTAGACAGTAAGGTTCAAACTGGATTGGGTTAGTTTCAGTACAGTGAGGAGAGGAGGAGGCGAGAGGGGTACTGAGCAGGACAGTACAGAGGGGTGTAAGACAGCTTTATCATCATTCATCATCATCATCATCAGCTTCAGTCTGGGGAAACACAAACATTCGTTCACACCTTCCTCCATAGTCAAGCTGCTGAAGCTGGCCGAGCCTCGCCGACTTCTGATTGGACAGTGGCTGGTCACTAAGGTAACTGTTGTCTTCGTGGTAATTTAGAACATTACTGTAACTTGGCACTAAATTAAAACACCTAACTAGATTTACTAACCGGCCGAGTGGCTCGCTAACTAACTTATCTACAATCTTACTAAGCAACCTAGCTAGGCGATGTTTCCGGCCTTGTCGGCGAACGCAGCCGCCGTTTTGAATAATCAGCTCGAGGAAACTTTAGGAGGAAGATCAGAGAAGTATTCATTTCAAAGTGTGCTTGAAATTGAAACATTGGGACAGTTTTTGAAAGAAGATATAGTTTGGACAATAAATTCAGTCCACAAATTACAGCTTCACAGTTATTGCCATTACTTTAAATATAAAGTTCTTATGCTGAACAAAAATGGTAGCAGTCTGTGCAGATCACTCTTTTCTTTTTACATTCTCTCCATTTAAGAAGAAAATCCAACGACTGCATCTGAAAATCACTCCTGACTTTCTTTTATTTGCTGGGATCCACCTTTGGGCTCAAGTACAGTTTGCTTATCTTCATTAAAATGTCTTTAAAATGATAAGACTTTAATAAAAACACATCCTTTGAGTGCCTCTTTTTATTAGACTTCCTGCTCTGATTACCCAAAACAGCTGCTGGGTGAAATTCAGGAGATTCGTGTCCTGCTCTGCTCCAAAATCTGCTTTTCAAAGTGCTGGGAGTGCCGACGCACAGTACCGTTGTTTCTACTCTGAGCTTTTCATAGGGTTAAACTGTGAAAATGGTCAAAATGCTATTCCTATAAAATACATCTGTGCCCTACGGAGCCTGCTCGAGGGCCCCAGTCCAGCGGCGGGCCCTCGAAATCCCTCAGGGTTTACCCTCCCTGCATAGTGACGGCCACTGTGACAGCTCAACACAGCAGCAACATAACATCAGAGTTCAGATGTGTGACAGAAATCGTCTAAATCTGCGACCCCCCCACATATACATAAAAACAAAAAAACAAAAACACCCTGAACAGTTAAGACATTCTTCTTTACAGTACCTCAGTTTAAATCAGCTTTCACGCCTGTTCCCTGTCTTATTATCAGCATTATTACCACAGACGCATGTGAAGGGGACATCTTGTCTGTAATGTATTTACACCAGTCATATATCAGGGTCTCTATATCTTCAGCTTATTTTGCATCGTTAGGATTTCTCATTTAACCTGTACATATTTAGCACTTTCTGAGATAACGTGGCGAGCGTTCAGTGAGCGTCCAAACAGAGCGAAATTATAAAAAATGTCCCCTCACATGAGCCGAAGCCCAAAGAGTTGATCATAAGACTCTGAGAGACTCTGTGTAAAAATGCATGGAGACTGAACCGTGCTTTTAGTTAGCCTGTCCATCTTTACACTCGTACCGTCATTCGCATCGGCCGTCTGCCTCACACACACGCACACACTCTCACAGACACACAAACACACTCTCTCACATAAAGGTCTGGGTTTGGTTGGACAAAGAAGGAGGGCTGGGATTGTCGCTGGAGTGTTTGTGAGACTGTCTGGATGAAGCAGAGGGAGAGGAGACAGTAAAGACCTGACTGATCTTCTCCAAGACTCGACTAAATACTGACGTGGACCGGTCCTGAAGGAGGGAGGGGGCACAAGCAGACTGGACTGGACTGGACCAGGTCTCGGATTTTCACTTCTCAGTGGTACCAACATGACTGAGAACCATTTGCAGACTAGAAAACCCGTCGAGCTGCTTCTTTAAATGTCAGATCACAGGACAGACCTGCTGAAACGGTCCAATCTCTAACCACGGAAGCACCAGCACACCAGATTTAAGACGTGAACGTGTATGTGACATTTAAAAACGCCACACAAATTTAGATTTAGATGAATAAAATCTATAAATCTCATTTGGATGTTGAGCTCTTTATTTACCCTCTCCACTGAAATGAATAAGCCAGAAATGATAAGAATCTCATACCAACTTTTTATGATCCCAGTCCACTTCATCTCTATTTTTATATCAGTGTGTCACATATTTGGTGTGATTGCTGCAAAGCAAAAATCCCAGCATACTGTATATTATTATTAGTGGCTAAAAATGCATTAATATTTGTATTATTCACATATATTAATGCAATCTCAGTCAGATGAATGGGCGTAATGTTCATCTCGACTGAGGGAGGAAGTTCTTCTAAAAACCCTCTCTGTAATCTAACACCAAGCCCACTAGAGCTGATCCAGACTATAAGCAGAACATGGGATCATGTGTCTGCTCTATCTTTTGACTATGGAGGCCTCAGACTCACAGGAGCTCCGCCTGCTGCACAGAATCGAATGGAAATCTGATCAAGATGTTCTGACAGAAACAGAAACGCTGTGGAGAGTCTTCTTGCCGCACCCATGGTGTGTAAGCAGGTCGATAGGAGGCACAGACTGGAGGCGGTGATGTGTTTTCCAAGAGGCGTGCTCAGGATTGCCATGGTGACCCTAACTGCTGCTTATCTTTAATGTTTAGGAGCTGAAATGGAGTTACACACATTTTCAGCCACTTTGGCTTTTGTGTGTATGTGAAGGTCCTTTCTCCAGCTGGTAATTCATGAAGTTATTCCTTTTTGTTTTAAACTTGAAGATGTTTAGTAATGGCATCATTGTACCCTTAGCTAACTGATCCTTTCTCTCTGGATATAAAAAGCTCAGATGTACACGCGGAGAAATAAAGATTTGAGACCAGTCCAGTTGTCCAGTCCAGTCTAATCCATCTAAGCTGTCCAGTCCAAACCATCATCTCCTACAGGTCCTTTTTGGGCCAGTCCAGTCTGCCGTGGCCCCGTCCAGGTTTCACGGTTCTTCAAACAGCTGAAGGTCGAGCCTAACGACGATCTCTCCCGTAGGAACCTCGTGGAGCAGCAGCCTCTTTGTGATTGGTCCTTTAGAGCCCTGGTCCTTCTTTATTTCCGCTAACCGGATTTCTGTCCTGCCCAAGAAGTCTGGAGGCAAAGAGGATGATAAACAGACAGAAAACAAAACCACTCATACTTCCTGAAAAGGACAGGGAACGTGAAATGAAGGGATTTAAATCAGCGTGCGACTATCACTGACCATCAGGCGAGAACTGGTCTCGTTCAAACACAGTGATACAGAGGACGTCCTGTTCCAGGTCCTTAATAAAAAACTGACAGTTGGAATTCCACTTTGGATTCAAAGTGTCCTGAAAAAGAGAGAAAACAGCAAAACGATGGTGTGAAATATAAATTATAGCAGACATATTTGTGTCCCTGCAGCAGTGAACCAGCACTGCAGTGGTGTACTGTAGCTGTGACTGAGCTGTCAATCGTTATGAATTAATACATTTTATTATGAAAAAGTCAATGAATCTGAAATATGGAATAATAATGAACGCCTGCCTGTAGACCTGTAATGTTTTACCTGTAATGTTTTTGTGATATGGCACTGGGAGCCCATGGTCACCTCGCAGTACGGGTTGCTTTTTCCTGGAAGAACAGAACTTATGTATAACCAATAACTGAAATCAACGTTTTTCCTTTTCCAAATTTAGTTAAAAGGAGTTCACACGTACCGTGGGAGCGACAGGGTTTGAGCTCAATTCCCTCCACAATGTTGACCATCAGTCTCCCGATACCTGTAGCCCTCTGGGAACGTACTGAGGCACAGAGACATGGAGGAGTCAGAGGACATTTCTGATCATGGTCAATCTGAGGATGTTTATTTCAGTGGGACAGGTACCTAGATACGCTTTCTCCCGCTTCTTCTTCTCCGTCTCTATGAACAGCTCTGAAGCTGCCTTGATTTTCTGAACCCACGCCGTCCTGAATAAACACACACACACACACACATTTAGAGACTAGCAATGATACACACAGCTGAAGACACTGCTAACTTGTGAGGCAGTCATGTTATTACTCACAGACCTAAACTTAAAGCGAATCCACTAATCCTAGATTAAGAGTGACTTTCAGGTTTGAGAGTATGACTGCAGGCATTTCCTGTTCGCTCAGTCTGGACCGTGAAGCGTCTCACCTTTCGTTGATGCTCTCGGCTCGCAGCGTGTAAACTCGGTCTATGTGGGAGATGTGGAACAGAGGCTCGTCTCCCGACGGGTCTGTCGGCAGCTTCACCAACACCTCATTTAGGAAGATTGGCTGAGAGTGAACACAAACCTTAGTTAGGACATGTTTATCCAGCTCACACTACATAACCCAGGGCAGGTTTAACAGCGAGTCTCTCTGGAGAAAGAGATTGTGTAGTCTCACCGTCTTGTACATGCGGTACTGCAGGTGCGTCTTTGCAGAGAAGACTTTGTCCGAGCCTGACGAGCCCAGAGGTTTGGTCACCTGTGAGGGTCATTTTTTAAATTGAGTAGAAAGATGCTACGTCAGTACCAGCCCAGCCACATTCAGACATGTACAACATAAAAGATGGATTTAAGGCAAGAAACTAAACATGTAAACTGTACAGAGGTGCAGGACTCACCTGTGTGAGCAGCAGGAAGTCGTTGAACAGGAAGCCGTAGAGCTCTTTGCTGCTTTTGGCTTTGAACAGCTTCCCGCTGTGGAGGAACTTCCTGGGACCCAGACAGTTGGTGACTGAGTTAAACACCAGTTGCTGAGGGATACACAGGCAGATATTACTGCTATTATTTCCTAATTAACCCACTTTCAAGTAAAGATTCAACACTTAAACTGTGGGCCTTCTGACGGGCTTGGAAAGACGCAGGATGTTTATCATCCTTCAGAGGACTGAGCTATGATTTCAGAGTTAATAGAAAGCATTTTATGAATATAAAAGTTAAACAGGAGTTTATCAAACTGTCGTCTGCTGATCGAATACAAATAAATTTACATTGCCTTGTTTTCAGAGGGCATCAGGAGGATAAGATGTACCTCTGACAGGCCCTCACACTGAACGTGAGCCTGAATCCACTCCAAGCGATCCGAGTTCTCCTTCTCCCTGACGCCCTCGTTCACCTGAAAAACCCACAAAAACACATCGAGTGAAGTCCCATCCAGCTCCAGGATCAGAGCCAAAGTTTACCTGAGCCGGAGGAAGACAATCTGAGTCTCTCACACCATACTTAATGCTAATTCAGGAATAAACAACATTTGAAACCAGGGTAAGACGTTATTTTTGACCTTGTTGGGAAAACCTGTGGACCTCTCTAGGATCTGTTTCTTTTTCCATCCAGTCTTTGACTTCAGCAAAGCTATAAAAAATGGCTTCAAACCCAGAGAGACGGGTTTAAGCCAAACATGAAACATTTTCATTTAATGCGTGCGTCTCCTGCACTTACGAAGTTATAAAGGCTGAAAAAACCCCCACACAATTTCAACCTGCCCCGTGCACTTTGAGAGCCTGAAACTCTGATAGTAGTTAAAGTAGGAATATAAGATTTTGCAGTGTGAGAGTTTCTGGTCGATGTTTCATCAAATGAACCTTTGGATCAATTATTCTAATCTGTGGGATTTCACCAGTGGATGTCAGGATGATACTCATGGATATGCATGCAGGCATCTGCTTTATGTTACCTACTGAACTATAACGCAGGTGTGAAGCTTTATTTCTAGACTAACACATTTGAGGCTTTCACTGCAGTGTGGACATCGTCCCGTGTTGGGTTCTCACCTGCGAGCACAGCTCCTCTGCTTTCTCCAGAGCTGCTTTCAGGTGGCTGTGATCTGGATGAGACTCTGGAGTATTTTCTAAAATCTAAAAACAAAAAACAGATCAACTAGAAAGCAAAACACTGAGAAAACAGACTGAATATGAGGGAGTGTGATGTGTGTGTGGATACTGTGCGTACGTTTTTGATAATGAGAGGGTAGCGCGTGACTCTCTGCATAGGTTTGAGCAGGAAGCTGGACAGAGGCATTCCCTTACACCGGGGATCCATGGCTAACCTCTGACACACAGAGAGTGAGGGAGTTGGAGAAAATCAGATCTTTATTCTGCAATTATTCATCCACACTTTCCCACATTTATAGTGTCCATTAAAATTACCCGCACAACAATCGGACGAAAAAAGAAAACAGGAAGACCAAAGGTATGTTTGAGTTGCCAGTTTTCTTAGTAAGGTTTCAAACTGAGGGAAGCGTCTGTGTGAACCATGACAGGACCGTGCATGAGTAAATAAAACCCCACTATAAAAAGCATCCAGGTGATTTTCCTTTGGGACGAGGGGCTAAAACCTTGCCCACAGTTCACTCTACAGCGCTGTACCTTGAGGAAGTCTTTGATCTCGGGGTTGTCGTCGGTTTTCTGTTGGATGAGCGTGGCTCCGTTCAGCTGACACGAACAAAACCTGAACACGAGAAAACGTAAAGAGTCATACAAGACACGAAACTGAGGGGATGATCCCCCTGCAGGCCGACTCAGGACTGAGAGATGGCAGACGGCACCTGATGTACGGCTGCATGTGAGGAAGCTGGTTGGTCAGGATGTCACCAATCATCTTCACAGGCATCCGATCGCCCGACATCTTCTTCCTCACTCTCAGAGCCCTGCAGAGGAAAAGTTTCACCGTCACAGATACAAACACACTGCAGCGACTGTCTGACAGGAGGAAATAGAACAAGGTGAGCTTTGCAAGTCAAACGTGCACCAGATGCAAATGTCTCTGTGTCGAGTAAGTGCATGCGCAGTGTCTGTGTGTGTGTGTGTGTGTGTCTGTTTCACAGCTTGGTGTGTTTACTTCAGCAGTTTGATGTTGCACATGATGAGCTCCTTCCAGTTCACGAAGATCATGGCGACCTCCTTCTCTGTCAGCAGCTCGCACTCCAGCAGAGGTTTGTGGAAAATCTGCGCGCAGACACACACACACACACACACACACACACACACACACACACACACACACACACACACACACACACGATTGTGTGATTTTACCAAGGGAATCGATCATTTCCTGCTTGTACTCGTCCTCGAATATTCAGATCAAATAAAATATTAAAGACAAAAAATTTTCAGAGAGTGATGAAACTCACTGAACAGAGAAACTGTAATGTGCACAGAATAACTCAGATAAACTCTCAAACTTTTTATGATCTGTTTGATAAATGATCTTTCTCATTAAATGAGGAAAAAATTGTGCTAAAACTCAAAGGAGTTTTTTATAAACCCATGCCTTTAATTTGGGTTTATGTCTTCATCTTTGGCTCGGACGATCAGGACGATTCTTTTTTTATTTTTATTACTGGTGCTGTCTACTTCCTGTTAAAAGAGTTTGTATTTGGCTCATGGGCAAAAAACGAGTGATCGATGAAAGATAAAAAGCCAAAACAATAAAATAAAACGAGACTTTCTGGAGAGATCACAGCGAGTCGTTGTTACTGCTGGATGTTAAAGCTAAAAACCTTTTTAGTATTTTATCTCTCTTTAAACCCACAGTCTGAGTGTTCTGCGTTTGCCTTTCTGTCACTTTAACTTTGTTTTTAGAGGTGTTCAAATAAAGCTTTTGATTAAATTTGTAACAAGCCTAACGCTTCAATGTGTTCTCCTCCATTTAATTCAGGATTTATTGTTGTTAATTTACTTTTATTGACTTTTTTGTTGTTGTTGTTTGTCAACAATTGCACATATGCCTGAAATAAAAGTCATTGTTATTACTGAGAAAAGCCAGAGAATTATATCCTGAGCACATGCTGTGTTACATAAAATCACTCCTTGTGCAGGCCTCCTAATGTTCCAGCTGTGTGCCACGTCTCTCTGATATGTGCATCCTTCCGCCCATGCTCCTCTCATGTCCAGATACACTTTACAAACTGAGACATGCTTGGAAATTGATACCCAGATAAAGTCAGGAGGATGGAGGAGACCCCGTGTGTTTACCTCCGTGACGAGCTGCAGGTCGTTGACGTAGTTCTCCTCGGTGACGATCAGCTCGTGGATGTACCCCTGCCTCTTCCTCTCCATGGGGCTCAGCATGTCCAGCAGATGCAGGTCAGCGCACCCTGAAAACGCAGCATCACACACGCACACACACACACACACACACACACACACACACACACACACACACACACACACACACACACACACACACACACCAGCAGTCAGTCAAACATCCTCAAATGTGGAAGGAGCAAACATAGAAAACCTGTCGAGCTGCAACAGCACATACATACCTGAGATCAACTCAAAGGCATTTGCAGTAACAGACCTGAGGGAGTCAGTGTGTGTAACCATGGGCTGCTTTTTGAGACCATTTATATCAAATTATGGTAATTTGACAGCACTCATTTCTAATCTTAGAGTTTTGATATAGTTTTCACAACGTTAAACGACAGTGTTGTTGTTGGGTTTTTTTTAAACTATGTAGTCCAAATTTGTGCTTTTGCCACTGTTGGCCACTAGAGGGCAAACAAAGTACACAAGAAGCCAGGAGACAGCCTTATAACTCTGATTACCTGCAGAGTTGGTGGCACGAGAAGCTCAAACTGTTGGTTTTAAGACAGAGGATGAAGGGACAGCAGAGAGGATTTATTTTGAAAATCTCAAACTTTAAGGGTTAAAAGTTAAAAATTGATGGTGGGTGTAGCTCGGGAGGCAGAACAGTTCATCTGCTAATCAGATCGATCCCTAGCTGCTCCAGCCAGCATGCCAAAGTGTCCTTGGGGCAAGATACTGAACCCCAAGTTACTCTCCGATGGACCCATCAGAGTGTGAATATGTGTGAATGCTAGACAGAAAGCTTGTATGGATGGGTAAGCGAGGCACTTTTGAGTGCTTGAGTAGAAAAGCGCTCAATGAGTCCGTTACATTTATTGTTTCCAGGCACGCTGTTAACTTTAAATATGTTCAGCTTTAAAGGATCAGGTCTGATAATCTAAGCCAGGGGTGTCCAACTCCAGGGCTCAAGGGCCGGTGGCCTGCAGGTTTTAGATCTCACCCTGGGTCAGCCATGATGAGTTCATTACCAGGCCTCTGGAGAACTTAGTCATTTAAATCAGATGTATGAAGGGCACATCTAAAACCTGCAGGACACCGGCCCTTGAGCCCTGGAGTTGGACACCCCTTAATCTAAGCTCTACTCGTGAATGTGTGTGATGTCATAAAGAGGGGATACACCATTGTGGTCATCTTGGGGACATGGCTGGAGTTTGAGCACAGAAGCCCCGCCAACCTGCTTTTCAAACCATATTTGCGAGGGGCAGCCAATCAGAGGAAATGAGTTAAAATTCAGCTTTTGTTGTTTTGGTTAATGCACGGTGAAAATTGTGGATTTGGAGGTTCTGGAGTGAGCAATAGCAGAAAATGGATGAATTATGGGCTCCACCAAAGCCCAGTGGAAGACAAATTAGCATTAGCATTATTCCAGAGTGTAAATCATGGGGTTGGAAACCTTTAAGATACAGGAACAACAAAGCCAAGGGAATGAAATGAAATATTTGTATTATTAAAAGACAGGTGTTACTCGCTGTGTGTGTGTTTGTGTGTGTGAGAAAGAATGAGTAACAAGGCCAGTCGCTGCAGTCTGTCTCAGAGCGTTTAATCATCAGGAGCAGTCAGATTCACCACCAAAATAAAATCCTGGTTATTTCTCTTTATCAGCTCTGTGCTAGCATTCTGTACATTTCATTCACCAGCATCACCTTCTTCTTCTCCTTTTTTAATACTTTATGAATCTGTTTGATCATTCGCGCTTTATTTTCACTCACTCATTAACACCGACACAGAGTGCAGTCTGGTTACATTTGGCTTGGCTGTTAATTCACTCATTCATTTATTCACTCATTCATCAGATTACTATTTATATTTATACGAAGCATCACCATTACCATTCATCAGATTATGTAAAGAGCATACACAGATTTATCTCTTTGAACACGCCGGACCAGATCAGAGCCAGGCTTCAGCGTCTTTGAGCTGCAGCGCAAACTAACCCGCAGCGCTGCAAAGTGATGAGGACAGAATGACAACGGGCAGACGTGGAGCGCGGCTCTGGTCCGGACGGGTCTCTGATCTCATGTAAAACTCTGACTGAAAGAAGTCTCGACCATCGGTTACCAAACTTCCCCTCGGACCCCGAAAACAAGCAGCTGTTATTAAAAAAACAGAAAAGAAAAAAAAAAAGCTCCCAAAAGAAACCAGATTTGTTAAAACATCAACGGTCTGGACTCATGAACCAATCAGAGAGCTTTAGCTCCAACACTGACACACTGAGGAGCCAATGGGATCCAAGCAGGGTAATTATAACAATAACAATAATTATAATGACTGTATTGCTCATTGTATAAAAAGTTGCGTAGTTTAACAATCATTTCTTTCATTATTTCTTTCTGAGGGTAAACATTAAAATCCCAATACTGTCATCAACAAACTGAAATAAAAATCTAATATGGCAACCCCTATTCTCTTAATACTAGTCTGTTGCTATGCCAACAAACAGAGGGGAAGGCGGGGCGAGGCCGGAGGTCTCTGCGTTCGTTTCTGTAATGTCCTCTGACGATGCTAACTTGGTAAAATGACACGAGGAGAACGATGCTTTCAGGAGGTAATTATTGAGATAACGACGTTTTAGCGGAACAACCGTGGCTCGTGTGTGATGCCCAGGAAAAAACACGGCGGGCTGTGGGAAATAAAGCCACAGGAAGGCAGCTTCGTCTGCTCCTGTGCATCGGAGCAGACGATTTGCTTTTTAATGCTCGGTGAAAATGTCGCAAGTCTGCGGAGCCCCTGAAGCCACTGAAGAGACAAAATCTTGTCCGCACAAGTTTTCACGTGTGTGATTTCAATGTGATCAAACCAAAACCTGATTATCAGAGTTGTGTGAGTGAAGCTGCACACTCGAGACACGCAAGTGAATTTATAGCAAACAATCCACACGCGATAAATAACTCATAAGGAAAAGATTTCAATGAATTCATCACGCAACATTTGAATAATGCGTTCATACAGTAAGGATAAAATGTGTGCACAAAAATTGCACCACAATTAAATGAGTTGTGTGGAGAAAGTTTAAATTGCGCGCACAAGATTCTCCCATACAGATGACATTTATTGTTGTTGGTATATTTCAATAAAAACAGTTTGCTGAGGTTACTCCTTGTAGGCTTTCAAACAGTTAAGAGCTGAAGTGCAAAGTAACTCATTGTGAAAGATAAATATTGTGTTCACAAAAGATTCAAATATCCCACAAGCACGAGGTAAAGTATTTAAACGCTGTGAGACTCCAGGAGCTCCGTACACTTCACTTTCCCTTCCTTAACTCTGATTTATTTTTGTAATGATGGTGCAGTCGGGAAAACGGGAAGCAAAACTTTAAAATCAGCTGTTTTTCACATAAAGTATGGTTGACATTAAGCTAACAGACTTTGGTGCAATGCAGTGGGACAAATATGCTTCTATAAATTTAAAATAATGCTAATTTGTGACATTAAACGTCAGCTAAACGACTGTTGGAGGAATATTTGTAGTTTTCTGACTGAGAAAATGAGATGATATCTGTAAATATGAGGCCACTCGAAACGATCACACCAGATTTTGGAGGTTTAATCTGGAGTTTCACTCACGAGGTTACGAGATTATTTTAACGCGGAGGCTGAATTTCAAACTGCTCTTTTAACTGGAATGACTGAAAGATACAAGCCTTTTTTTTTTTTAGCTAAAAGCCCCGCCCCTCTGTGTGTCATATCAGTTTTCCTCATTTTCCTCATATATATGACATCCCATCATCATCGTAGCAACAGACAAAACAGTAAACATGTAAACAAAAACAACGGAACAAACATTTAAAGTTAATACATATTCATATGTTAAACTACAACGGATAAAAACGTGTGTGTGTGTGTGTGTGTCTGTCTGTGTGTGTGTGTCTGTGTCTGTCTGTGTGTTAGCTAAGCAGCACGGCTTTTTTTTTTTTTTTTTAAATTCCAGCTGCTCGCTTCCTTTTATGCCTCCTTCCCTACACAAAGTGAAAGGAGGGCAAACTAGCAGAAGGAAGCAGCAGCGAGGATTGAAACTTGGCCTGTAACTGCTGCTGGGACGCATCTCAATACTGCCTCGCTTCCTCTCCTCTCCCGTCTCCTTTAGAGCAGGGGAAGGGAAGGAAGGAGACGAGGAAACAGGAAGCTGGAAGGCGTCTTTGGCGTTGAGGAGAGAAGAGTTAAAGACTCTGACATTGAGACTTGTCCTCCAGCAGATAGTGGGTCTTTCTGTGAAGCTGTGGGAGGGGGAGGGGTTAGTGAGGGAGGTGGAGACAGCGTTTCTGACTGACAGGCTTTGGAACCAATGGGAGCGAGGTTAAAAAATAATTTAGAAAGAGGAATGAGGAGGGAGGATGAGCTGAGCGACTGATTCTAATGAGAGTCTCCCATAAAGCCACAAAACGACCCACTATCCACTTTACCACGCTAGCACGGTGTGTGTGTGTGTGTGTGTGTTTACAGTCACTGTGATCCAGTCAAAAACATGTTCATCAGTCCAGTCTTGGATAAAAGGAGATCAATAGTCTCCTCCTTTCTCCCTTCCCTCCTTATCTAAGCATCTCGGAACGGATAAAACAGGAAGAGAAGAAGAAGAAGAAGAAGAAGAAGAGGAAGAAGAGTTTAAGAGGAGGAGAGGAGTCCTGACTACTGATCTCCCTCCTGCTGAACAGTGCTGTGTGCAGCCAGAGCCTCAGATAAACAGAGTTTGGCCAAGTCCAGTCAGAGATTTCGCCAGCAGAGGGCGCTTTAACGTTACAGTCTGTTTGTCTGTCTGTCTGTCTGTCTCTCTCTCTCTGGCTTCTACTGGTGGAGAGTCGCCATTTCCGGGTCATGTGACCTCTTGCTGCTGTCCCATTGGTTGAGTGGCCTAGTGGGCGTGGCCTAGTGGGTCTCTTTGAGGGCTTTGAGGAGAGGGGGGTTCTGGGTAATGATATGATCCTAGAGAGAGGACGACAACAACAAACATCAACAAAAACAACTAAACAAAACAACAACAAGAACAACAGCAACAACAACCAGTCGGGCCGCTAGGTGGGTGGAGCGTGCAGCAAGGCGGAGAGTGTGGAGGCGTGGTCTAACCCAGCATAGAAACAGAGGAGCTACAGCGGGCAGCGAGGCGAGTCGGCAGGAGATCGTTTGGTTTGTGTAACGTTTTAAAGACCAGCCATAATCCCCACTACTGCAATCATTTAGAAATACTGTCATCACTGTATTTATTATTATTGTTATTATTTATTTTCAAATAGAAGAAAGAACCAGAAAATTCACAGATTTCTATTAAAAACTGGACACAGACTCTTAGTTTGTGTTATATGTGGACCTGTCACACTTACATGTGCAGTAAACAGTAACCAGCAGCTTAACAGATGAACCTTTTCTCTCTATAAAATTCACATTTACAGAGATCAGAGTTTAAAAAATTAAATTATTTTATTTTCGCTCTTCAACACCGACCACAGGAATCGGTGACGGTTTTTACTGTTTTCATTTGAATCCACAATAAATTTAATTTTGGATTTCTAAACATGAAATTCTGAATTTTGAGTACTGAGGTTGTGTTACGGTTCGAAGCTGTAACTGATCCAAATACTCACTCAGGAAAACACAATTTTATAAACTTGTTATTATTAACTTCTAGTTCATATGTAGATGTATGCAGCTCATCCAAAAAGTCCAGTCGTTGTGTTGCCCCATGTGGCTTCACTGTAGGTGGCAGAGCAGCATCTCACCCTCTGTAATATATAAGTTGTGGCTCAAACAAGCACAAAAAACCTGATTTAGCCGACCTTCATTAGTGAAGGCTCTTTAAGTTTTTGACTTAGACCAGTTTGATTTTTTTCTCTAGCTTAAATATCTCACCCTCCCCACACACAGATGTGTTTTTCCCCTAAAAGAAACACCCGGGGTGGGTGGCTGGGAACAAGATTTACATTAAACTCAGATTTTAAAAATCAATCCAACAGTAAGAAATATTCTCCTGCTCTTGTTGTCATTTGATATGTGCAACACACATGTGCACAGGTATATGATACATGTGTTGGTTGTTTGTAGACGATGAAAGTGAAACGACTGTGAAACAGACTGTTATGAATCTCACAATAATAAAAACTTAATGGATCAACAAGGAAAACAGATAAAAATCACTTTAATTGTTGACGTATCGCAGTTCGCTTTGACCATCATCGATCCCTGGCACCATTATGCATACTGGGAAAGAGCGGGGCTAAAATTTGATGAGTATTTAATGGTTTTTATATTGTTTTGTTTTGTTTTTTTACCATTACCAAAGTGACTTTTCGTTACTTTACATCAGCTCTGCTCTACTCAAGTTCAACAGGTTCAGTCTGCTCAGTTGGCTCGATCCAAGGATCAATATTAAGGAGAAATGCTGCCTTGGTTTTTGTTTCGTTTTTTATCTATGTGGCTTGACCTAAACTTCGGTCCACCACTAGTCCACGAGCCTCACTTTGAGAACCCTGCCTGTACACAGACACAGTCTGTTTACCGCCAACATCTCTCTGCTCCGCTCTAGAAACTCTACGTCTATGGTGGATCATGCTGAAGGGACACATGCAGGGAAGAGGGGACACTTGCACACTAATACATGCAAATACACACACACACGCACGCACGCATGCACATACGAACACACACACACACCACCCAGAGGTGGTGTATGACTGGGAGGTTATCAAAGAGGCCCAAAGGAGTGTCAAGGTGAAAGGTGAGAGGTCAAATCAGCCCGGGGAGGTCAATCACAGACTGAGAGAGGGACAGCATCTCCACACCTGGCTCTGGGCTGTGTGTGTGTGTAGAGAGTGTGTGTGTGGGAGAGTTCGTTTTAGTGTGTTACACTACTTTGTATTCACATTGGGAGTCGGTTAGTACGTCTGTATATGTTCCACGCAGGAAGTGTGTGTGTGTGTTGTGGTACTCACACTGCGTGCTTGGGTCAGTATCTGTGGTGAGTTTGACGTAGTTGCTAGGAAACAGACCCTCCCTCCCATTGAGCTCTCCTTTCCACCAATCACAGTCGTCTTTGTTGAGCACTGTGATCACCTGACCCTTCTGGAAGGCCAGCTCGTCGTCGTTCTGCGCCACGTAGTCGTACATGCCGATCACCTGACACAGAGCTTCAGGACCAGAGACGGGGAACAGGGAGAGATTATTAGTGTCCGAGTCTCTCTGGATTCTTCACGTTCTGACAATCAATAATTATTAACGGCATCAAATCTGCTGAACTGTGTCTCTTTAAGTCCATTTGGTTGCACACAAAAGCTGCAAGATTGGCTGCATCCAAAATACAAACTACCCGACAATACCAATTATTTTACTCTACATGGGGTCAAAAACAAAAATTCTGGTATATTAGACTTCAAACTAGGCACAAATACCATGAACGCTGCAGGAAACTGAGGTCTGGGGTCCCATAGACTTGTATACAAGTTGAATCCCTTTTACAGCCACAGGAGCTGCCCCCTGCTGGCCAGTAGAGAGAATGCAAAGCCTTTTTAAAAAAGGTGCACCTCTTCTTCTTCAGCACGTTTCACAATGGACTGAAGGGCCTCTGTAGGTGTTGTGGTAAAGTGTGTGGATTTTTCTGTGTTCTTTGTGTGTGGATGTACCTGTGCTGGCAGGGGCCAGTTTAGGAGGTGTGGGCTCTGTGGGCGTCGTCTTGCTGGTGCTGGGACTCAGCAACTTCACATAATTGGCTGGAAACCAACCAATCTGGCGCTTTTTCCCTCGAGCCTGGACCAATAAAATCAAAGGATGCCATCAGTCACAAACCAATATGTAAAACACATTATGTACATAATGACAAAATACAGCAGGTAATTCCTTTAGCTTTGTTCTGTAAATAAAATGATACAGATTTAAAAAAAATCCTCAGTTATCTGGTGAATATTTGTGTCTCATTTAATCCATGTCAGCGTTTCCCATCATACCTATCCTTCTCTACCTCATTACACTGTTTCAGGCAGAGATTAAGTGACGGTTGTGTCTTGTGTACCTGGAGCTCGCCCTCCCACCAGCCCCCTGGGTTCTTCTTCCTGATGAGGATGAGCTGTCCTGGGGCTAAAGTCAGCTGCTCTGCTCCTGTAGCATTGTAGGGGGCGATCACCTGAGCGATCTCTGAACAGGAACAGGAAGAAGATGATGAGGGTTTTTATTTTTTTTCTTCTTTTAGTCTCTGACACCTGGTCTATGTGAGTTTTATTTTGAAGGTTTAAATCAGACAAGTTCTCTTTCACATGGCTTTAACTTCAACTGGCACAACAAGGACAACGAAGAGTGAATTAAGATATTTACTGGTCAGTTTGACACTTTTATTAAGGAAACTCAGTTTGGTATTCTGAGGAAAACAGGAAAAGTGCATTTTGGTAACATTACAGGCCTACCTGGTTTCTTCCCAAGGCTTCCCGTCTTCCCTGCTGTTCCCAGTGACTGTGGGCAAAGATTCAGAGTCACAGTGATTAGAAATATTTACCTGAAGATCTTCTATTCTTCCCCGAATTTGTTCAAAATGAGCTCTCACCTCTGATGTGGAGTCCCGTGGTTTGACGTAGTTGGATGGAAAGACTCCAGTCTTTCCTCCGACCATCCCCGTCCACCAATCGCCTTCTTTCCTCGTCACCACGACGATGTCCCCTTGCTGGAAACTCAGGTCCCCCTGTTCATTGCTCTCGTAGGTGTACATGGCCACGTATTCTGTATGAAAGCATGAAGACAGAGTGAGTGACGAGAAGCTCGCTGACGTTTCAGCAAACTCGCCCACATTTGCGTTCGTTACCTTCACCCGACTCTGAAGGCTTTGTTGGGGAGGGGGAGGGGCGTTTTCCATTGGGCGGGCTTTCCGATGCTCCTGTTTCACTGGGAGAGACAAAGAGATAAGAAAAAAAATCATTAAATACATGAAATAATTCTTCTTTTTTTATGTGAGCAAAGTCAGCAGGTCCCCTTGTACTTTGGGTGTCTTGCCCACTTTAAGCGCCCAGTGTCACAACATAACAGCTTGTTTAAACTGTGCTTTGTGTCAGGAAAAGCCTGGAAGCTTTTTGACGTACTTAGTGTTTTTGCTGCGTGCTGCTGTTGCTGGAACACCAGGGGGAGCCGTCATGGTGGCGGAGATGAGCTTCACGTAACTTTTGGGGAACCAGCCTCTTTGTCCGGTCTGCAGTTCACCCAACCACCACATGTCCTGCTGCTCCAACACTGTTATTATCTGCATCAAATAAAAAGTTCAGTTATTACAATTAAAACGCAACAAAAAGAGAAAGAAATTAGTAATCAGGAGATCTCTACCTCGTTTTTGTTGAAGTTTAGGTGGTTCTCCTTCTTGGCTCTCCAGGGATACAAGGCCTGAGCCTGAAGACCCTCGACCTTCTCTCCCTGAGAGACACAGACAATCACAGCCGTTACTCTCAGCAGAAAGAGATGCAAAACCAGAGAAATATTGTTTCTGTCGTTACCTGTCCCAGTACGGGAGAAGGAGAGGAACCCGTCGTCATGGTGGCGGGAGTGAAGGCAGAGCGTTGTCGCAGCTGTGCCGAGGGAACGCTCAGAGATGGATTCTGACTGGCCGAAGAGGTGGGCCACGCGTCCCAGCCCTCGCTGTCTGATTGGCTGGTTGTGTTTGAGGGCCAGCTGGAAATATTGCAAGCATGCATATTAATATGATGTGACTGACGTGTCTGTGGGTCAGTAACGGAAAAACAAATCGTCAAATGTCAGCGAATCGGACTTTAATGGCACTTACGTTGTGCTGAAGTCCGCCCAGTTGCTGTTAGAAGAGGACGTGGTGGAGGAGGCGGTGTGTCCTGGGGCGGGAGGGGGCGTAGTCATCGGCTGCTGGGTTGAGGAGGTTGTGGCTGAGACTGTGGAGCGCAGCGTGATTGGCGCTTCACTGTCAGGTATACGCTCTGCATAATTGGCAGGAAACCAACCGGTCCGCCCTCTGAGCTCACCCCCCAGCCAACCGGGCTCACCTGTTTGCGACTCATCGACCTATCAGAGCACAGGGACAGGATTAGGATAGCTCTCATGACACGCAAGGGATAGAGATGCACGTGTCATGTTCATGGTGGGAGTGGCGCAAACAATAACAACGGTGGAAACGGCAGCAGCTGATCAGATCCTGATTAGTGGACAAATGATGCAAAAAACAACACGAGGGGCAAAAAGTCCCACGACTCTGCCCGAAAACAACACCCGATTTAAATTTGGCTCCTAAGCATCCTTGTGCAGCTCTGACATTAGGATATCCTCAAACAGAGCAGTGCACCATGGGCAGGCATGTATTTTAACATACAGACAGACAGAACAGGTTTACTGCTACGGTGGCCTTGAGGTGGATTTTTAACAGGTAAACCATAGCTGAAAACCCCAATTAACTACATCTGTAAATTTTAGGATATTTGCCATAAATATAAGAAAAAAACCCACAGAGCCATTAACAAAGTATTCCTGTATTAAATACAGATGAAAAATTGAATCCATGCAGGTTTTAGCAGCTAAACTAAATCTTTTTTTGACTTCTTGGCCACACCAGCACAGTCTTTGCTCACTCACAGTCCTACGTCTCAGATTCGGCTCCCTCTACCAGAATGTATTAAATTTGCTGCTGTACTGAAACACGTGAGGATGCAGTTGGTAGAAACAAGCTCCTAGTGACCAATCTAAAGGTAGGAGGAGTGCTAGAAGCTTTACAGAGATGCACAAGGAGACAATGTCAAATTGGGCAAAAATAAAACAAGTATGAGTTTTTTTTTAATGCACTTTATAAATTTGAAACCTCCATTTTAAACAGTAACCCCCCTGTTCCTCATGGTCCCAACCCCAATCTGTCAGAAACGACACTGCAATACGTAACATCTCACTGAAATGTGGCTACAAGCTAAAAAGTATATTTCCTCTGTTTTCCCTCCTTAAAATGGTGACAGGGAAGTGGGACGGAATAATGTGATATGTTTACATGAAAAATGGAAAACTGCAAGCTGGGATATTTTATTTGTTTAGTTTATTTATGTGGGAATTAAAATAGCCTCTGTGCTGTAGTCACCAGTCTTTGGCTGATAGTTAAGCACACTCACAGGTTTCCACACTAACTAAAAATAGCACGACATTACAGATCTGACTGCAATAACTTAAACAAACAAAAACTAAACAAACAAAAACCACAAACATTCATCCACTGAAAATGAATGAACATGGAGGCGACATGAGATGAAAGCGTTTCTGGCTTGTGATTGGTGGAGGTACATCACTGGGCGGGTGGGGGGGGGCAAGAACTTACCCATTCCCCCTTCACCTTCAGTTTGCACAGCAGAGGAGAGAGGAAAACGTTAATACACACACCGCACAGCCACACACACACCCTTCAGAAAGAATAAACACAAACAAATACAACACAGGCAATAAGACACGTGTGTGGAAGTCCTTTACGTGACCATCACTGACTGTAGTGAGCTTAGCTGAATTCATCTGAGAGAGCAGCTTTTTCTGCAAACTACATACCATAATAACATCTCCGGGAGTGATACTGATCTCATCATGGCTACGAGCGTCGAACGGATACAGAGCCCTGTAGTACACCACCTTCACCGGCTGCTGCTGCTGGTCGAAGGCGCTGGCTGAAGCCTTCTGGTCAAATAAACTGGGACCTGGAGCTTTTTCCACTGTGACTAAGCAGAAAAATAAAACTATTAGTAAGAGAGAATAGATCACTGCTGAGCAAATGAAAAGGCTTTATAGTGAAGCACTTCCTGCTAGACAGGAATTAGGTCTTTAGCACTAAATTCAGAGTTCAGTGTGTTTATGTGCACTCGTTTCTCTCCTGAAATATAAAAGAAGCTTTTCTGCTTTTTTAAAAACACCTACCAGAGCACACAGGTTTTTTGAATGATTAAGTCAATGGGTTTTTGATGTCACAGTCTCAAAGGGCTAAAAAGAAATTCGTCATCACGGAGCCGAGTTGTCAGAAGTGGCAAAAGCCGCAGTTCCTGTAGCTGCCACTTGAGGCTGACTCCAAAATTGAGTCTCTTCTCACACAGTGTAAATTTAAAATACCCCAAATCAGCTGTGAAGATGTCGTGTTTATAGACCAGTGAAAACCCAGCTTGCGTGTCTATGGATAGTTTCCACTTACATAACAACCGCGTGTGACATACAGGTGGATACCGACACCTGCTGGGTGTCATCTCAGTTAACTCAAGCAGAGGAACTGAACCTCCACACTGTGAGTTTGGTGTTTGTGTCATTTTGGAACATTTTTAACTGAATTATGTGACAGTTATGGGACATGCTGAGGTCTGAGCTCCAGTTTGAAGTCAGTGAAATAGTGACATTTTATTTGCATGTTACGCATTATTTAGCAGACATCTGTCATCCTTCTACATGAATACAAAAAAGGATTTCACATAAGCAACACGCCGGTGGCCAAAGCACTAAATGCACGTGTTAACACACCTGCTGACGCCCAGGGGTCAGCCGGCTGGCTGAAAAGCTTGTTTAGTTTGTCCTGCATTTCCTTCTTGCCTCTTCCCTCGTCCTCCTTCTCTTCTGTCGATCCTGCTCCCTTCCTGACCTCTTGCTCCTCCTCCATCCCTCTCCTTTTCCTCTCCTCCTCTTCCTGCGTCACTCTGTTTAGCCATGCGTGGGATGCAGGAACGGAGGCGGGGCTTGGAGCTTGTGGAGCAGAGCCTCCTGCTTCCTCCTTCCAGGCGGCACCTTCCTCTGACGACAACCTGTGAAATAAGATCATTAAAACAAGTTTTAAAACTCTGATTTTGGGGCAAGTTCAGCGAAACTTTCCAGCAGTTTTTCAACTGGATTTGAGAAGCAATTCCACAAATACAATTTTAACCACTCAAATTAAAGTTAATTTGTATAATGCTTCAAAACAACCACAGAAAAAATGGCCCAGATGGCTGCTGAGTGACTGACTTTTGCATTTTCTGGTACTGCATCATCTCCACTTGACTCTTACCTGCCCTCCTGCAGCTCAGCGGACTTCCTCTCGCTCGGGGTGTGTATGTGAGACTGTGTGTGTGTCTGTGTGTGTGTGTCTCCCTCCAGTTCCTTCTGTTTCTGTCTCTGCTGCCGGGTGTGGATCTCCCTCAGCTCCTGCAAAGCATCACGGGATACAGGAAGGAACAAGCGATGAGGAGGAAGTGGGGTCACAGGGCTGGTTGCTAAGGGCGTCCAACGACAACAAACAAGAACACCAACACCGGCAGTAGCAGCACGTTTGTATTAGTCAGGTGAGCGAGGCAAGCTCCGCCCCTTTACTTTGGTAGTCTTGTTAGTTTATTCTAAAACGGACGAGGCAGGACGCTAAACTGAAGCCTTCTGTTTGGGAAGTCTCATTTCTTTTAACCAGTCACTGCACTCGAACTAGAACATCACATGTCACAGAGAACCTGAAGACACTGACGTCGGGGCTTACAGCTTTCTGAGCTGATGTGCAATGGAAGGCACAGATCATCCAACTCTTCATGAAAGGCTTTTTGTGGAGCGATGGCGGCTGCTGCTTTTGATCATGACCATAAACAGATTTGATCCAAAGTTTAGGATGTCATGCATTACCTTTATATCTACACCTGGCAGCGTCTCTCCTCGAGACTCAGTGTAAGTCACTCAGAACAGCCAAGTGACAGAAAGGTTAACAAGGCAATGGTTACCATGAGGGTTCTTTCTCGTGGAGTTTCCCTTTATTCAGTTCAAGCTAGTTTTGAACTTCCTCTGTGAATTTATCAGGATGTTCTGATGCTGCAGACTTAACACAAATAAGTGAAGGTGTGAAATAGGCTCAATATATTTCATCGCAACTAAAAATGCACTCACTTTACACCACTGTGTAACAGTTATTACACAACAAGAAAGTGAGGCAAGGAACATTTGTCCTTATAGAATCCTGTTTTATTGTTACTGCTCAGGTGACATTATTTTATCTCCACTGCTTCTCTGATTTTCCTGGAACAAGCCTTTGAATGCACATACTGTTCATCACCTATGAGTGTGATGCTGATGTTGTGAAGGGAGCGCAGAGTGTGAAAGAGAAGCTGTCGATTTAATGATCACAGCTGAAAAGATAAGACTGCCGATACAAGTGGTAGAAATTACTTCTTAAGTTCAGGTGTTTCAGGCACGTCCCCACCTCTCTTCTTAAAGGACCACGAGGTATCCAAGAATAGCGTCTCTGCTCTGCCCCAGAATCAGATAGGCCGTAAAAAGGAAATGGTGGTGATGTGGGGGACCAGCTGCCTGCACTCAAGTCCCTGCAACTTGTGTTTCTGTCCGAGTATGATTAAAAAACAAACTTTTCTATATGTTATCAGTACGTGGGAAGGGATGTGACTTGGAAACAGACCCGGCCCGTAATAGAGGGCTCTGGTCATGGTGGTGGGGCGGAGCTTGCACGGCGCACAGTATGTTCGTGGGATGGGTTAGAGGTCAAAAAAAAAAATGTATGGGAGGGAGGGGGATTGAAGGGAAGTGAAGGGATGCAACTGTGAAAGGGGCAGTTCTGTGTAGTCATGACAACCAGCTGTGCCATTAGAACACACTCTGTTACTATAACAACAACACAAGGCAGCTGTCGTGTTTCAGCCAAACAACCGATGTGAGGAAACCTCCAGAAACGAGCAATCGAGAGACACAACGAGCCGAACTACAAATGTGAAGACAGAAACCTCCACATCACCTCAAACAGGAAGTGGAGGATACACGAAACAACAGAGACCACACACACACACACATACACACACAAAAACACAAACGTTTGTCCAGATCAGGTCTAGTTTATTGCCACATTAGGCTGGTTAACTTCTAGTACCTTCTACGTGTCTGGCTGAAACATAATTTGGTAGCACGCAGGCTTTAGGATTACAGTATAGCATCTGTAATCTAGTAAATCCCAGCATAGCAACAGCATAAAGTCACCTAAAGTAATATACCTGCTGTAGTGAAGGGACATTTCACCATAATTTATCATCATGGATACACACATTTCACCCGGTGTGTAGCGCTCTCTAGTCTATATTGTCTTGGTGTGAGTTGCATAGTTACAATCATCATCTACGCATTAATCTACAGGTGTTTACTTTCTGTTTTGTTTTTTATATTATTATAATCAAGAAGTTATATCAAAAAAACTAGTTAGTGAGAGCAAGGACATCCAGATTCAAAGACCCATGACAGGCATGACCCAGTGATGTGTGCCTGTGTGAGGATTGTCCGTCCTGTAGGTTAGCTAATTGAAGAAATCTACATAGTTTACTGCTGACTGCGTCCACCAAGCCGGCAGGTGTAGTAAGAAATTCTGGAAACCCTGTATGTCAGGGCTGGGGGGACAACAGGCCTCAAGGGCTGGTGTCCTGCATCAAGATGTGTCCTTGATCCAACAAAGCTGATTTAAATGGCTAAATTACTTGAAGTTCTCCGGAGGCCTGGTAATGAACTAATCCTTTGATTCAGGTGTGGCTGACCCAGGGTGAGATCTAAACCTGCAGGTTTTTGCTTTTCAAAAGGTGAGTTTCATTTAGTTTCATTTTATTAAAGAGTCATCGATCATCTCCAAAAACGGCGCAACTCAGACCAACTTTGATTCTGGGCTGAACTGTTCCTTTAACTACAGCAGCACAGCTAGCCAGCTGGATCAGTAGTGAGCCAACACCAGCCTAACAGAACAAAAGATCAGAGGCAAAGATAGAGAGGATGACAAATTTAGGGTGAAGAGAAGAAGAGACAGAAAGGAAGACGAGTGATGAGGAAAAGAAGGAAGAAGAAGAAGAAGAAGAGCAAAGAATGGCGACAGGAGGAGGGGCGTGATGGGAGGCTGGTTTGTTTCATGGACCTTTATAACGTGGTCTAGCCGAGTCAGACACACTCTGACAGCTGACACACACTCCTGCAGCTGCCCCTGCTCCTGGTGCTGAAACACACACGCATATATGTATACACACACACGCACACAGTTCAAAACACAGACACACACAATATTTGTCAGTAGATTTCTTTGTTGGTTTTTTTCTGTACACACCAAGTCATTTTTGTTGGGGTTAGTCCATGTAACCTCATGCAGTCTGATTCTTCTGAGACACTAAAGGAAAAGCAGGCTTGCACAATATGGCCTTGACTCATGAAGGGAGGCTCTCGTGAGTCACTGCAATGACTAATGTGCTGTTAGTTTCATCAGAGGTAAAACGCTGGCTGCCTCTAATTGTCACCTTGCTTTGGATCATAAGTAAGAGTTTTAGTAAGTAAGCTTGCTCAAACCGGTTCTACCCATTTTAATTCCTGCTTTGCCTTTAAAACAAACATACGCTCGATAAATATGTTTTTTACTGCAGGCATGATCACTTAATCAGAAATAGATGAACAAAAAAATAAACATTATTCTCATGTATATCCAGATTACTCATCATGTGAATAATCTTTAGAGATGTCAAAAAATCCTGCATTTAAAAAAAGTCTTAAAATGAATTAAAGCTACCAGCAGGATGTTAATGTCACCTTCGAGTCTTTAACTCGGCATTAACAGCAGCAGCAAACATTCGTGTTGACGTTTCCGTCTCCGAGTCAGAATCGTTACAACCTTATTAAAGGCTTTGTCGTTTCCTGTGTCAGTCGTGTCCTGCTGCTTCATCAGTGCATCTACAGAGCCGGGATCAGTAGCGAGTGGTGCACTCCTCCTTGTTAGAGGCTCTCCTGACTTTGACGTGTGAGATTAGCAATAAACAGCACACAGACTACATCGGTGCGTCACAGCTCGACAATTACAAGACCTCGACTGGCCACGGTACATCTCTCTGGCTGGCAGGGACAGCACAGTGCAGTACAAGCGATGCACTGAAATGTTACCACAAATCAGACCAGAAGTCTGGTTTGTTGGTGTTAAGGACAGCAAAGCCTTCTAAAGTGACTAAAACACTTCAAGCCTGCAGGTTAGTATTCTCACAAGAGGGTGTACAGTGTTTTAGTTCAAATCATTCCTCTGATAATCTGCCAAATCAGGTCCAATCAAAATGCAGAACCCACTCCTTCTTCCAGATTTTGCCATTAATGGCTTAGTGTTAACTGCAGAATTTGATATTGTTTTATATTAGAGTATGTCCCAGCTGCAGTACCACCCCAGTCCAGCAGTGGCAGTGTGCTCTACCTGTCTCCCTCTCTGTTCCTCCTGAAGCTGGCGTCGCAGGGCATCTATCCTGGCACAGTGGTTGGCATAGAACTCACACAGAGACTGGCATGGGAAAGGGAGCAAAAGGCCAGTATAGGAAATAAAATAAAAGAGTAGAAAATATAGAAGGAAGGGTTTATTATGTGGAATAAACAAAGAGTAAAACAGGGAGAAAATGAATGCAAGAAATACAGGTGGAAGAAACGGGAACAAAATATAGACGAGGACAGCCAATAGAAGCAGAAAAGGCAGAAGGTGCATTGTGCCGGATGAGGCACAGCAGAGTGACAAGAGAAGATTTCAGGGAGAGGAAGTGGCGTAGAAAGGAAGGTGGAGGGAAGGATAGTCAAATATCGATTATGTCTCAGTGGCCTCTGCCTCTGTTTGCAAAGAATAACACCACTCAGAGACGGCTGCGTGTTCCTCTGCAGAGAAATGGTTACATACGCCGCTTATGCGTTTGCTCCTATGCTGCTAGGCTTTACCCAATCACTGCATCGTGGTTTTTACACTGAATCCAACTGAGAGTCAACTTTATTAGATTAGCTGCAAGAAAATCAGTTTACTGTGGTCTGTTTAGTCTCTGCTATCCTCCCTTTCTTCTCATTCTCCTCCTTGTTTAAGCAGACTGTTTCTCCCCTCTCTGACCTGTCTCGCTGTCCGGGGTAAATCCAGAGGAAATAAATAAGAAACGGGGACAAAAGGTGCTCTGGGACACGTAAACAGACTGCAGTGATCCAATTCCGGAGGAATAAAATCTTCATCTCTCTGTAGTAAACTGTGTGAAAGCTACGCGAAGCAGCTGGACTCAGTGTTCCTGCGTACACTCTCCAAAAACACGCCAATCAGCGTTAACACTGAAAACAACAGCAACATGAACACAAACAGAGCAGCAGTCAGGTATAAATAGAACATCAGTAAACATGGAAACTGTGACAAACCAAGCTGTGAGGATGTAGTCATGAGGGATGGACAGGACGTGATTCAGTCAGAAAAACAGCTACTGCGTTAGAAATTACTTTGTTTGCATTTATCTGGACAGAAAACATGCAGCTACTTCACGTCTACGTTACAAGGAAATAAAATATGCTTCTCAGCACCAAAATTAGATTTTATTTACTCTTATAATCAACAGATTTAATAATGTTAGGTTTATTTAAATAGAATAGGCAATTTTAACAGAGATATATATAAGGTGAATTGGAAAAAGCACGTTAATATCCTCACACTTGTGTGAAAACACCAATGGAGCGCAGCTTCCAAACAAAAATGAACAACAACAAGACAAATATCACAGTGTGCATCAAACGTCTCATTGTAACATAGTATTAGATTCACATCTGTTATTTTTATGTTAAACTCTTTTAATTTATTAGGCAAACCACATAATACTGTGACCTGGCATTTCCTGGCTGGGTTTTTCCTGTGGGGTAATGACACGCGTGAGCACAACTGTTATACATTTTAGTATATTTTATGCTAGAATAAGTGAACCATGATATTAAATAATGGTTAAAATGTCTTTTACGTTGTCTCTTTTGGGGATGCCAACACGTACACAGGAAAAACCCTGCCCAGTATGTTTGTGGCTTTCCTGTCCTGCATGGTGTTGTTGATCATTTGTCTCTTTACCTTCAGCTGAGTGTTGAAAGCGTCTATTTCTAGCAGTTTGGCCCTCGTCTCTTTCTCCACAGCATCAAGCTGCTCTCTGAGCTGCTGTCTGCTCATCTCTTTCTGCTCGACAGCCTTCTGCAGGGACGAAAGACTATCACCTAAGTACACACACACACAGACAGCATGAGACAGCAGCAAGTTAATAAATCAAAGTTTCCAAGCTACGCAGTAATTAGCAGAACAGACAGTTAACAAGGTAAAACGTACGCACTCCTAATCCCTTTTAAAAATTGTAATATCTGAAACAAAACATTTACTTTGAACGTTTTTATCAGAAACAAAATATGGCATCACAACCAAGGTTAAAACATTTACCTTAAACTAAAAACTAGATGCTAAAAAACATTTGAGTTAACTAAAATGAAGATAAAAGCGCCACCCCTCAGCCTCCGAGTAGACCCACCTATGGTATCAGTTTCAAAATCGCGCCGTTATCGCGTTCACAAACTACAAACTTCCATAAGCCTTTTGCGACTGAGGGATAAAAACGCAACTGAAACAAGAAAATCTCCTCTGGAAACTGAAACTAAACTGAATTAAAAAGTGGGGAAAAAAAAGAAATTAAAAGTCGTAGCGACGAAATTTCAGCTGTTCCACAACAAGAATGAATGATAATGTTTGCATGTGAGCCGAGTGTCTGCGGTACTCACGGTGCAGACTGTTCTGCTGAACCTGTTTCAGCTGCTCGTTCAGACTCTGCTTATCAGGAATGAGCCTCCCCAACCACTGCTGGGAGTCCTGCACGCAGCCAGAAAGACCAGCAGAAAGGGTTAACACGTACACAGTAATGAGCCGGTCGTCAGTGGGGTCAGAACTGTATTCTTTTATTCATTAGCTGCTGGTTTTGTTTGCTTGGCACACCTGCAGCTGTTGTTGCAAAAGCGTGATTTCAGTGATGCGCGTCTCTCGGGTCTGGTTCGTCTGCTCCACCTCTTTCCTCTGATTCGACAGACGAAACCGAACATCCTTCAGTTTACCCTCCAACTGGCTCTTCTTGTCATTCTGGAGGAAACACACAGAATAGATCACATTTAATACTTAAAAACAGTGAAATCCAAACTCGAGTCATGTTGATGGAAGATAAAATCTTTAATTTAGCTTTTTCTGTTGTGGAAAAAGAAAAAAGGTCTGGATTAGCTGCTCTAATCTGTGTGGATTCATGTTTGACCCCACGTTTCAGCCACTTTTCACAGATTTATTTTCATCTTCTATTCATCACTTGCTGAGTTTGATTCTTCATCAGAAGAGACCCTTTAGCCTCATGAAAAACACGCCTCCACTTTACCAAATATCTCCTCAGGGCAGAAGAATGAGATGACACTTAACCTTAATCCTGTAGCTTTATTAGCAGTGATTAGTCTGATTTAATGAAAACATCAGTTCATAAATGCTGAAGTTTCCATCTTTTTCTTCCAAATTAGAACACTGAAAGGAAAAAAGTAGAATCCCAACTTTCTATTGTCACATTATCAGCTGTGTCTGACCTACTGACACTAACAGTCTGACAAAGAGGCAGGACAGTGATCAACCAGCAGCAGTCTGATGGTTTCATGCAACGACGATTCTGAGAGTCAGTTACTTACTATAGATGGCAGACAGTTGGTGTCGTAAGCCACCGCCTCTGTTCAAAGATGGTCGTTCACAGTGGACATAGATGCTTCTATGAACAGAGGCGGTGGCACCAACTGTCTGCCATCTATAATCCAGTTTTGAGTTCCCTTCCCAGACGCCTTAACGCCCACTCACACCCTGGGCCATCTGACCTCAGGAAATCACATGATAGGGTGGGGCCAGGTTTCACAACGAGCTCACCAGAAACCCTGGCTGATTGTGACCCACACCCGCTTTCACACCTTGGCTCATGTGATTAGAGGATCATCAGGGGGTCCTTTTGTCCCTCTTTGGGGGGTTACTCCCACTGGGTTTAAATCTGGGACTCTCCACCATTTGACCTTAGAACTGAAGAAGCTTCTTGAATGAGAGGTGAAACATCTTCAAGGAACTTAAAGTCCAGACGCTTTTCTTTCCAAGCTCCTTAGACTATGATGACCTGGATGACTGAGAACCTTCACAGACATACTGAGTATTTTTGATTACCAGAGCCTCCAGCTCAAACTCCAGCGTCTTCTTCCTGGCTTTGAGCAGAACTATGCTCTCCTGCTCTCGGTTTCTCTGAGTCAGAAGCTCCTGCCGCCGCTGACGCTCCCACTCCAGCTGACGCTGGCGCTCTAACTCTCTCTTAGCGGCCTGCCACACAGACACAGAAAGTTCTGTTTACGCTCAGGACGCAGTTTTATAAAGAAACTGCACAACAACACAAAAGACTGGAGGTTAAACATTATATACATATAGTACATCATACACTTGATTACACATGACTAGTTATCTGGTGCAGCGGTGTGAATCGGGCACTTTGCTGTGAGTGATTTTAGGGGGGGGTTGGTATGCGCTTGTATGCAGCACTAATTACAAGTTTGCAGCAGTTATGCTTCAGCCCAGCTTTGGCTCTTTAATTAAAATGCAGATGTTCCCTCTGTCTCTCTATCATACCTCTCTCCTCTCTATCTCTTTGCGCCTCTCTTCTTCTCTGTGCCTCTCCAGCTCTCTCTGCTTCTCCAGCTGTTTTTCTAGTTCCTGTTGCCGTCTCCTCTCGTGCTCCAGACGCTCACGCTCCTGAAGCACAAACGTAGAGAAATGAGCTGGCAGAACAAACAAACCGGTATTTGTCACGCGTCACCCCGATGCGTTTCCGTATCCTCCAAGTTTCAAGAGTTGAATTAAATAATTTACTGACGCAGGAGATTGTAGCCAGAACTTTGAAAGCGCTGTTTATTTTACGGCCTCATAAAGAAGCCTTAAACCATGAGCAAATCAAATGTGCAGTGCACAGTGAAAAGAGCAAACCTTTCTCTCCTGCTCCTCCCTCTCCAGGGCAGCCAGCCTCTCCTGCTCTTTCCTCTGTTGCTCCTGCAGGGCCTGACGTCTTTTCTCCAACTCCAGATTCCCTCGCTCAAAGTTTTCCCTCTTCTTATCCTCAAATGTCACTGCAGGGAGACAAAGAGGACGTTTATGAAGTGGGCTATGATAGATGGTTTGTAAATTATTTAACTGAAACTGCTAGAACCATTTTAGATGAGAGGAAGAAGCTTGAAAACAGAGCCGACTACACAAGCACGGTTAGGTTCTGTCAGCATAATGAACACTGTGGCCACAAAAAGGTCAAAAAGAAAAACACAGGTCACATAATATTAGTTTATTACAAAATTACTGAAGGTTGCAGAAGCCAAAATAAGTCAATGATGTCTAAACGTCAGTAGCAGCTCAGGGTGAATCTAATTCCACTTTGGCCAGTAATAAAACAGCGTGTACTCGCTGGTTAGGACGAATCACCTGGTAATTTCTTATCTTGGCTGGTCTCCGTCTCCTCCTCCATCTCCTCCTGGACGCTTTTCTGGTCCGACTGAACGCTGTCGCTGCGCACACGCCTTTCACACACAGGGACGAACAACGACCGATCAGATCTTTCAACCTTTATCATTTAAAATAAGCAATGCCGCACAAAACAATAATCGAGTATTGCATCTTTGCATTTAGCATGTAACAAGTGGTCAGCTGTAGGGGCACTGAAGGAAAAGAACTATTAAAGATCGAGGGGCAAATGCCAGAAACAAATATAAAATGTTTTAATTAAAGTCATAAATTTCAGAGTAATAAAAACCAAACCTGCAAGACATTTTTTTCCAGTGCAGGGATTGCAACACTTCACTTTGTAATGCTGAATCAGAATAAAACTCACATATTTGATCACCTGACATCATTAACTCCAAAGAAACCTTTTTGAAAATGAGAGCAAAGTTAATACTGACTGTCTATTTTTACTATTATGTGGTTATTATATGATTGTAAGGTCCCTGCACACAGACTCCAGCTGCACACAGAGACCAGTGTGGTTAGTTCAGGTCGAAGGAAAACTCATCGTCTGCCTTAATGACATGACTGGAGAGAGGTGGTGCTGGTGTTTCTTATGAGCTCATATGTGTGTAACAGTCTCATCAAGAAGTAATTGTTAAATACCAGTGCAGATTAGTATGACCATTAGGGGTGCAACGATATTCGCATCGATATTGAACCGTTCGATACAGTGCTTTCGGTTCGGTACGCATATGTATCGAACAATACAAAATTTTTAATTTATTTTATCAACTTTCCTTCTGACGATGCTGTCTGTGTTGAGCACTCAGTGGATCTGCGCTCGACAGTGCAGCCTAGGCGGAGTAGTCGAACGCAGATTCACTGAGCGCAGGGCAAGCTAGCGAGACAGAAGTTAAGCTGTCGTTGCAACATGGCAAATTGAACCTCCCCCACCCTCATTCAGATCTGGCGTTTGGAACTATTTTGGTTTTCATGTGACGTATGACCCTGAAGGTAAGCGAGTCATGGACTAAAGTAAAACAGTATGTTGGATGTGCCACGCAATGCTCAATTACATGGGTGGGAACTAGTTAGGGCTGCCACGATTAGTCGACTAGTCACGATTACGTCGACTATCAAAATCGTCGACGACTAATTTAATAGTCGACGCGTCGTTTGAAGCTTTGTAAGATCCCAAAAGACGCAGGAATTAGTAGGATTTAAGAGTGTAATAACGGACTGAAACAGAAGATGGCAGCACTGCATGTACAAGGATGCCAGCTGCCGTTAAACCCCGAAGAAGAAGAAGCTCTGTCCCAGAATTCATAGCGCGGCCCAGCCCAGTTTCCAACAATGGCGGCAGCTAGTTAGTTTTAATGTTACTCTTATTATTCTTTCTGGGTCACAAAATAAACGTTTAACATATTTTCAGGCGAGAATGTAGCTGTGGAAACCTCAAATATCTGCTCAGTTTATCAAGACACCACATATTTTCAAAAGTGCTCCGAAGTTTTCGGAGACATCTGTTACCCACTAGCTCGATAGCGAGCCGGGGGCAAGGTCACTAGAGCTGTGAGAACACCGGACTCCCGGCAGATCGTTTTCAAACCCACTGCGGTCTTTCGCTACTCAGGTTAAATATATATAAGTCACTTAGATAACTTAAAATGTTATTGTTTGGCTTTTTTTAGTATTTTATTTGTTCCTGAGTAAATCGGTTTGGCTGAGATTAAAGTTATAGTTCTTACACAGCTGAATAAACGTCAAGCAGACAGCTGATTATCAGAAGTGTGAGATGCTGGAAAATTTACTCCGGTGTCCCGTTATATTTTAGATAGCAAGGAGTTGATTAAACTTCACCGAAACAATCTGCAGATTTCATTAAAATTTAATAAACTATCATCTTGTCTTTATTTTTAGTTAGCACAGACCTTAAACACTTAAAGCTGTAAGCTAATGCTAGTTATATAAGAGCAGATGCTGCTGGTGCAATAAGCTGTAGTTTTACGTCCAGTGGATGATGATCTGATTAGTCGACTAATCGCAAAAATAATCGGTGACTAGTCGACTATCAAAATAATCGTTTGTGGCAGCCCTAGAACTAGTGCGTTAGCACAGTTAGCTCGTTAACATGTTGGCCGTCCAGCCCCATGCACGGGGCGATCCGCGGTAGCTCGTTAACGGAGATTTGCTGTGTTGTGGCGTTAACGTCATTTCAGATTAACGCTGACAGCACTAGTGGGAACACGACGAATATGACTGCACATTTACTCCGACATCATCCTAGTGCAAAGACAAGTGGAAGCAGACAAAAACAACAAGCACGCATGCTACAAACTTTACCAGAGTCATTTAGACAGCTGTTAGCACGTGATTCTCCTTATGGGGACCTGATATGTTTAATATGCTGCTGAGAATATAGCCCAGAAGAAGCGGATAGTATAGCTTTTATTTTGGAAAGAGACATTTCTCTGTAATAAACTCTCTTTTCCAAAGATGAGTGATTTCTCCATCAGATAGATTTATTATTTTAATTACTTTGTTGTTTCAGCAACATTAAATTTAAAAACTGTACTTTTGAGTTAAAATATATATTTATACTTTTAATAAATGACAAATTAAAAAGGCATGAACATTGTTTTTTGTATCGAAAAAATATCGAATCGTGACACCAAAGTACCGAACCGTGAGTTTTGTGTATCGTTGCACCCCTAATGACCACATGTAACCTCTGTGCTCAGTTCTAGCTTCTTTTTTCTTTTTTTAAATGTTTGGAGGTTGATTTTTTGGTTCTTGTTTAAGTGACCAGCACATTGTCAGTAACATCCTCGTGTTTAGTTCAGCATTTACCTGAATGATGGTGGGAGGTATTCTGGAGGTAACACAGGGGGCAGCGGTAACCCTGACATAGCCATATCTATGAGGTGCATAGCTAAGATAAACTCCTCAGCTGTCAGTTTTCCATCCTGGTCAATATCTGAAAGACTCCTGAGGGGAAAAACATGAAAGGAAAAAGTCAGATTTAAAGGACTGCTGTTTTCTGTTCTGATATGGAGGGTTAAATTCAAGTGTACTCACCATATCGTGGCAAGCTGGGTCTGAGGAAGACTGGACTGCATCAGGATTGTGCGAGCCTGGGGACCTGAAACACAAACGTACATCAAATGTAGAGAAAGACACACACATTTACATGCAAACATAACAGAAACATGATGACAATCAACAGCATGTGAGTGTGTGTGAGTACCAGTGAGGTGTCCACTCATCATCTTGTCATGGGAGTTAAAAAGCTGTCTGTACTTCAGCCTGGAGGACTGAGGAACTGCCCAGTCAGCAGGGGGCTGAGCACTGGGAGGAGGACAACAGAATAAAAAGCAAGAATGAGAAACCAATGAGATTTTATAATTAAAGAAAAAACTACATGCTACGAAGGACTATAGGTTCAAGTGCACAGCAGACTTTTACATGAACGTAACAGCTAAATTCACCAAGTTCAGAATGGTGCAAACATTTGGATTGCTTGACCTACCCAGCAGCATCAAAGGACGAGCCCTTCTGCAGCTTGGTACTGGCCCGATTAAACGAAGAGGGAGCTGAGAGCGACAGAGAGGAGTGCATTTTAGGACTTGGTGAACTGCATGTGTTGTTGTGTAATTTTACTAAGAAGCCTCTAACTTAAAAACAAAATAGTGACCCGTGTCTTAGAAAAGCATTCATGCAGAGATAAGAGAGCGTGTGAATGTCTGAAATGTAAATACATTAAGCTTGTTATGTGTAAATACAAGCTTAGCGATGGAACGCATCACAAAGATGTGACGACAATGCTCTCCACTGTTACCTGGGTGGGAGAAGCCTGAGATAGGCTGTATTATGCCCGTGGGAGGAGCTCCGTTGGCAATGGGCTGTGGGAGGGGTGGCGGCGCAGACGAGACGAGTGGGGGCGAAACCCCGACGGGAAGAGGAGGCAAGGGGAGCGGGGGCACGCCGGGCAGAGGAGTAGCGATGGGTGCCATGGGAGGCATGCCTGAGTTAAAAACAGAGCGAGAAGACAAGATGATGCTGTCTGTACACACAGGGAAGGAGGCAGGACCATTATCACTATATATAAGTTAATTTAAAAGACAATTATTTATTATAAGTTATCTGCAGTATTTTTAAGAAATGAAGATGCCCCATGAACTGTCCTGACTCCAATGATCTGATCCAACTGCTTTTTCCTTGACACTTCTGAGCCCTCGTAACATCAAAGGTTCAGGAGATAAATTTGTGGCTGATCAAAACAGGTTTATATCAAATGAAATTTTCAATCAGCTCATCTTGTAGAAGAGATTCATTTAGTTTCTTTATAAATTGAATAAATACAGTAACAGGTATTGCTGATTCTCAGAAAAACGGGAAGGTGCTCACTTATTTTTCATGGAATTAGTTCAAGTGTCAGTCTTACCAAAACCAGTCTGCGGGGGTAAAGGTAGCGGGGGTTGTTTCATACTGGGAGGAAGCGATGGGGGCAGAGGGTGACCCTGTAGTTTCAGCTTGATGAGCTTCATTGCGATTGAGAACTCGTGGATATCCATTCGGCCATCGCTGTTCATGTCAGCCAGAGCCCTGCAGATTCACACAGAGCATGAGCACTTTAAAACATTAACGAGGGGTAAAATCTGACATGGATTAAAAACCACTGGTGCAAAAAAAAAAAAAAAAAAAAAAAACTTAGACAATAGTCTGCAACTTTTAAAGGAGAGTAATAAATGAGCTGACTAATTCCTGGCTATGTGACTCACCATATTTGGGCGAGGACGGGCGGGGGAAGCCCTGATTGGAGAAAGAAGTTCCTGGCCTGGTCACCTGACAGACAGACAGACAGACAGAATGTGAGATCACCACAGAGCCCAGAGAATCTAAATGTAAACGACCTCTGACCTTTATTACAATGTCAACTAAATCATAAAATGCAGATAGTCAAACCTTATTGAAGTTTCTCTGAATCAGTAAAACATAATCTATGATATGAAATGGCTTCCAACTTTTCATTCTTGAACTAAAGCAGCTTTACATGACTCACAGTCCAAAACGTTGTTGGTTTTTTTGGTTTTCTTTTTCTCTTAAACTGGGACTCAAATTCCCGTTTTCCAACCCTGGGGTAGGGTCTGGGAGATAAGCCAGTCATTGGTGAGCTATGGCTCTTGTGCAGGTACACAAGCAGAAGCAGGGCAGTGATCAGCGGGGTGTGATTGACAAGTAGATGCTAAACAATGCCAAAGGGTTAGATCAAGGGTCCTGCAGACAACAATGGTCCAACTCCAGGAGGTGAGAAACTGCCTCCTGACGTTACTCGATTACAAAAACAAATAGATTAGAAGCTCTAGATAAACAGTAACAGGTTTTGTAGGCGGTGTTTCCTTAGCATGTTAATTAAGAAGCAACACAATGTGTAATAGTCAAACAACAGTGAGTCTGCCCCTTGATTCTTCATCTCCTCAGCTCATCCTCTGTCTGAAACAAGCTCTTTTCCTTCTCCCTTTAATGTTTCGGGTAAGCCTGGCACTTTGATCACTGTTCCCGAAAACTGTGACAGCAACTCAGCCATGTGACTGTTTTTCTCATGCCTGACTCAGGAAAAATAAATCATCACATCAGCACTGGAAGAGAAGCAGAAGTCATTGAAACAGGAAACAGTTTTATTTTTTTGGTTGCAACAATCTCCGTCTGCCTCATCACGGGAGTCTGTGCGCCTGCACTCTTACATCATTAAAGTGCACACAGAGACCGACCCGCTTGAAAAACTTGTGCGTCCAGTCTGACCAAAGCAACAGTTGTGAAGTTGCTTTTGGCACATGCTACCTGTTCTTAAGTACAACATCAACTGCCTGTGAGTCAACTGTCTTCTGATTTGCTGCCCGTCACAAACAGCTTGGGAAGAGCACGTGGGGTGGAGCTCTTTCGGTCAAAGATATCCACTCTCACTGACTCACACAGAGAAAGGAGAAACAGCTGCCTGAGAGTGACCGTTTAAAGCAGTCTGAAGCCTGAATGAAGCTTTGCCTCATTATGTGTTAAATTACAGTTAAAGTTTGTCTTTATTCTTCAAATAACAGCATTTAAGCAAATATCTGAACAGCTGTATTTGTGAGGCACATTGAGATTTTGAACTGGATGAATTTACTATTAAATTGCAGTCATGGCTCTAGTGGCTGTGATGATTTCTCCTAATGAAGTCCAGTTTTCTTTGATCCAACCACATTTCCCACAACGCACATCGAGCACTTAGGACATTTGACACCTGGACAGCAAGTTCCCCACAGAGCCAATAATAAAACACGTGACACTGGCATTGTGCATGCCCCTATCACCCCTTACCCATGTTTGTGTGAGAGCGAGAGAGTGTTACCTGTGATGAAACCCCCAGCAGTCGGAGAGAGGCTGTGAAACTGCTGGTCATGTTTGGCTCTCTCGTCCACAGAGATCAGAAACACATCTGGACCTAACGCATCCATAAGAAACAACAAACACACACAGAGCCAGTTACAACCACAGAGGTCGAGCCCAAGTCAGATACAGACAGGAAGAAAAGGGAGGCTTGAGAGGAATGCATTAGTCATGAGTCTCACTTCCTGTTATATAGCTCCTATAAGGGTTGGACAGAGTGCCAGCTCAGAGATGAATGGATGAGGAACTGAGTGCGTAATTAACATGCGAATTCAACCAATTCATCAGCAGTTGACAGAAATAATGTGAGCTTCTCTCATCACTGAGTTTACTACTTAAAAAGCCATTTCTGCTTCACCAGCCCTCATGCTCTACCCTCAGCTATAAAGAGATGTTGTGATACAACGTGCTGGTGTTAACTGTGATACAGAAAATTATTTAACAAAGATAAGATAATCCAGTTCCAGCACAGTTACAGTGACAGGCGGTAACTTTGCAGTTTTGGTGGCTCTCTTCTCTTTACAGCCTTTCAGTTTCTGCCATTGTGCAGCCACAGCTTTTCTGAACACTTCACAGCTGACTAAAGTAAAGTGACCGCTGCTGATGGCATTCATGTTTCTACTGCTGAAGAACATTACACAGTGCAGCAAACCCACGAAAATCCCACAGAGAGCCCCACAAGGGACAAAGTAATAATTCAAGGAAATTAAGAAAGAAGATAAAAGAAGGAACAGGGTGCAAAAGTTTTGTTATAACTATAAAAGACACCACACGATGAAAAAAAGAATATCTCATGTATTTGCACACTACATATATATGGTGTGTATGCCCTTTTTTTAATACTATACATTTAAAATACAAGAACAGGAATTTAAACTACACAATATCCATCTTTTCTTGCATAAATCCATATTTTCTGTGAATCGCACTACCTTTCTACCATTTGTCTTACTTCCATTTACTTGGAAGAGAAGGGAGTTAAATGTTTAGTGAGTCATTCTAGTTCATTGGAAAATGAAAGACAAATCACTGCGGACTGAAAGTCATTTCTCTGTAACTGTTGATAAAAATTATACTTGTCAGCTGTCTTTTGTGCTGGAAGCTTCTGCCACAACATTTCAACAGAAACACAACAATTATCCTGCTGGCAATGTGTTTTTTAATTCTCTTCTATTTTTATTAAAGAAAAAACTGTACAAACATTCATTCAGCCTCAAATGCTTCTAGCTGCAGAGATTTATTTCCAGCATGTTCCCCTGATGACAAAACGCAAGCAATGCTGGTCCTCATTCAGTGTAATGTGTTTTGGGTGACAGCTCACAGTCTATGGTCTGACAAATCTCAGTCTGTGTGCTTTTTAACTATTCGACTTAGTCTGCCTTTGCCTCCATCTCTTAGTTGTTGTGATGGGAGATCTGTCTCTTTGGCTACAATTTTAGAACAACTTGGTTGTTGTTTTCTTTGACAGGAGCTACATCCACTCATAGCCACTCAGCTACAGTGCTCCCCAAAACTATATTACCAGAAAAGTAAAATTAATTGTTTTACTACTTGGCATAAAATGGGCATAAAACAAATATATCTGAAAATATAAGAACAATGTAAGTATCCAAAGTAGCAACAATATCAGCTTTGCTGTACGGCTAACACACTATTTAGAGGGCGTCATGTGAGAGACTTTATAATACTTCAAAGATGTGGTTTGTCTGATGAACTCTTGATGTTGTCATTTAGCTTGACTGAGAGAAAACGTTCACTATAGCTCTCTGTTAAGTCAGCCACATGTAAATACTGACCTGTGAACGTGGTTGGGAACTGTGCCATGGTTCGCTCAGTCTTCTGCAGCTACACAACACCTGAAACAACACATTAAGAAAAACAGATGAAAGTTTTATCTGATCGAACCAACAAAACCTGTTCACCTCAACACTATTTCTCTAGTGAACCAGAAAAATGCTTTTATTGTGAAGGAGCCAGCCTCTGTGTGCGAGGTCAGCAACCCAGCAAGATGTTTAAAAGACAAAACAATGTCTGGTCAACAGCCAAAGGTGGTGACACAGTGGACAAACTCAGTGAGGGGGAAGCAATTTTCCAGTCCAGTCTGGAGCTCATTTTCCTCTCTGCTGTCTTTCTTTTGGGTCTCCATCCCAGTGATCCTTACACGCTTACACTTACTAACTTTTAAAGAAATTTATCTGGATGTTTTCAAATGTTATGTTTAAAAAAAAATCTCCAGTTGTCATCTGTTCAGACTGCATCCAGTCAGAGCACATTAGCTATGCTTGTGCATGTCAACAGGGCAGCAAACTTCTCTTCATGCAGAGCAGGCTGAGCCTGAGCGCAGTCACTTGTTTTCAGGACCACTTTGCTTCACCAGGGCTTCCGCGCAGTTTAACAAGAACAGTTTTTAGAACATAATGCATGCAATTAAAACCTAGTTCACCTTCAAAAAACATAGAAGAAATTCATTGGTTTTATAAGACTAATCTACAGCTATCCTCCAGAGCTCCTCTGCTTCTAATGTCTTAGATGTAAAAGGCGTCTGGAGGTTGTTTAGTGGAGTTGCTGGAGTTAATGTTAGAGCAGAGCGGGGCGCCAGACTTTGGTGATAGTCCAGATCTGACTACACAATAACACTGAGCAATGACCCACACATAAAAATACCATCCATGGTAGTGTCTTGGTAGGTACGTTGCAGACTCACACCCACATGTTACAGCTGTGTATCGTCACAAGGAGTTAGTGTCAAAAAATGTGTGAAAAAACAGTAACGTTGGCCAACCATGTTCACAGTGTTGATCCTTTATTCTGCCTCTGATAAACAAGAAGACAGAAGTCATAATAGACAAAGAACATCTTTGTAGTGAAGCGAAACAAGTTAATAAGAAAACTCAACTGAAGCCACTGTCTGTGCTTCTCATCAACGCTTTCTGAATATTAAATGTTTTCCTTGCTTTTTCCTGGACTTTATCCTCTTGTGTTCAAGCTGACCTTTCTACCAATCAGCACCCTGCACATGGCAGAGTACAGACTTTTGGCTTTTAGAGGATGTCACCCAAGCATGTTTCCCACAGATAACACTTGACTCATATTGGCCAGTGACAGTTGCTCAGGTATATTCTGTGATTTCAGTTAATTTCTCCATCCGTCTAATATGATGACATGATTGATTTACTAATGGAAAATCCCTTCACTCTCATTATGCACTGTAAAAATGACACGAAATATCGAGCTTGGTTCAAATGCTGCAAATTTGTCCAGTGAAATTACGCAGTCAGTGTAAACGGCTCCATTAAAAATGGGAGGTCGGAGAAATATTTTTAATGACAGAAATATTTGCACAGATTTTACACGCCTGGTGTGAAAAGGCCTTTATTTTGAAAGTTCAGTTGCTGTAACTAGCTAGTTCTAGTCCATCTTGCGTTCCCCTGCAGGCCAGCAGACGGGGTAGTTTTTGTGGTAATCGGACAACTTACACATTCTGGTTACAGTCCCATAATCGCTCTCTCTGCAAATTCAGAAACCAATGCAAAAAGATACCCACATACTATAAATTGTGCATTAGCTGAAGGTACTGCAATTATTTCTGAATAGTCTACACAGCTCGCATTAGTAGTTAATGGTTCCTTGTTGGTTTTATTATAGAACCAAGACACTTTGAGCCAGTGAGCTACAACTGTAACTTCATAAAAGCAATGTTAGCGTCAAATCTAAATAAATATTTTAAAGTCAGTATTTCTTACAGACAACACAGACAGAAAAGTTAGAAAAATAAATGTAACTTATATTTCCACCAGCACTCTCATCTCTTACAACAACAACAGCTCATGTGTCTGCATTAGCAAAGGCATGATAATCAGATCCAGACCTGCCTCCCACCCCATGTATCACAGCTAGCAGACAGCCCACAATAACAATGTGACATACATTGCAACAGACAAGGACTTAGGACGGGTGGATGAGTATATGTATGTGTGGGTTGTTGACCCTTTTACTGTGCCCAAGCTTCACGCACACAAGAAATTACCAAACAGTGAGGCCAAATTCTGTTTGAGAGTCCAAATCAAAAATTTGCAATTTTTCCATTTAGTCCCACAGGAATCGTGCCACGCATGATAGCTAGAGTTTATTACATTAAGTTCTCAGATGGCGACTCATCAGATTTCAAAACAGCATAAGGACAGATGGAATTTAGTCTACAGTGCTCAAACGAATCATAAAACTCAATACAAAGATGGTTTTCCAAAATCGCTCTGATATTGCTGTATCAATAAGACTGCTAAACCCTTCAGTATGAATCTGTCCTTGGCCGATTGAAGGGCTTGCTGTGGAGTGTGTGTGCCCCACTCTCATCAGAGTGGGAGGACAAAGTAACCAACTTAAGTAGGTCAGAGGAACAAAGCCCACCCCACACACACACGCACACACACACACACGCATGCACGCACACACATGTGGCTCGATATTACACGAAAGAATATTGAAGCAGCTGAGCACCTGCAAACATTTTTGCCTAGTTTAAACAACACACAGGGAGAAGTGATTAAACTTCTAGTCATCTACAGAAAAATGATAGCAAAACACAACAGTTTGGAGGTGATGCTCAACAGATGGTGCCATTTACAAAGAATGGAAACAGGAGCAGAAAGTGTGGGGCTTATAAACTGCTGAATTATTTTTACCTTCCAGCATCTCAAAATCTAGTGAATGAAAAGTCAAGTTGCATAAAGTCCTCACCACAGATTAAGCTGCTTGTGAAACAAACTGACGTTTGTGTACAAGAACCAGTTATACACAAAACCCAAGTAAGAACAAGAGGATCACACCCATCGTGACACTGGAGGAAAAAATAATAATAGCGCTGTCCAAACATTCGTACTCATCATGAACTTAGAAGAAGCTTGAATAGTTGTGACAGATTAAGGACAGCTATCACTCGACTCAGTAGGCATCTTAGAGGTGTGCCTTATTTTTTATTCTTATTTATCTTTATTGCATTGTAATTTAATAAACTGATAACAGGATAGTGGATGAACAAAAGCACTCGCTGGGCACACCTGAAATATCAGAACAAACAGTCACATGTCAACGTCGCAGATGTAGACATATTTAAGACACCACACGCAGCATGTTTTTATTAAAGGTCGGAGTGATTAATTATTTCATTGCAATTTTAAACACATTTTTTAAAACAATTTTGGGCATTTTCCTGCCAAACCTCAACTCTGTCACGTTTTATAGTCGTGGGTAAGATGCTAAAAGAGAAATATCGAACTATAGATCAAAGAACAGCTCCCAGTGAAAAGCCAAAGTCCATCACCAGTCTGACCTTTCAGAATAAAATAAACGATCATATCAGGATAAAGACATTTGTGCCTTCAGTCCTGAGCTAAAGCTCCAGGATGTTAAGGCAAACATATGGAGATGACATCAAATTCAAATAAATGCATCAGGAGAGGAGACACATATTCAACGGCAAAGGCTCCTGATATGATCTTTAGGCCAGATCCCCCAGCTTACTTTATTCATCAGCACGCACAGCCTGAGTGTGACCTTTCCTTTGCAGAACTGTACGACAAAAACAGGCACAAATCTTTCTGAAACAATAGCAAGTACTGAACAGAAATTAATTTGAAGCCCTTTGTTGCATCGAATCTTTTGTCATATTTATCATGTGCAGTTAAGGGTTTAATGCTCTGTTTACCCCGTATATATATACACAGTAATTGTGGGATTAGTCTCCATAATTAGAGCACTGGGATGTAACTGGAGTCTGTTATCATGGCTTGTGGCAGATGACTGTGTAAGCCCCTCTGTCCCCCCCCTCTCTCTCTCACACACACACACACACACACACACACACACACACACACACACACACTAAAGGCTTCTGGTTGTCCCTCCCCCTCATTTTCCTGCTGAAGCTCCTGCATTACTGATGCTCCATCCACTCCGATATTCTTATGGCTGTGGACATCCTCTGAACTGTACTGTGCCTCGCAGAAAAAAAAAATGCTGCAATCTATGCTTATAGTTTCCAATTCCCCTCAAGCGCCTTTTCTACTTCTGTCTTAAAGTGAACATGTTGCTCTTAATCAGAGAAGTGAAAAAGCACCTTATGAACACAGCAGTTAAAAGAACTCCTGACACGGCATTCAGCACAGAGAAAATGAAATGAAGAGTAAATGCGATGTTCACTCACAGTATAAACATGGAGATAACACATAATGAATGTCAGTTTTTTAAACATTTACTCTATGATCACTTCACATCACGCTGGATCAAAACTCAGTCAAATCAGACAACAGATTGCTCCACCTGTGATTGCAAACATTGTCAACACAATCTTCTCAATCAGCTCTCCTGCTTTACTTGTTGGTCTAACATGTGTCCACTTATGTCAACTAATCAGGATAACGCAGATCATTTGTTACCATTTTATATCGGTGCTCTTTGATACACCATTTTTAAACTTTTAGTGGGTCAAAAATTCATGTGACAGGAAACACATGGGGCGATCGTGGCTCAAGAGTTGGGAGTTCGCCTTGTAATCGGAAGGTTGCTGGTTCGAGCCCCGGCTTGGACAGTCTCAGTCGTTGTGTCCTTGGGCGAGACACTTCACCCGTTGCCTACTGGTGGTGGAGGGACCGGTCCGGTGGCGCCAGTGTCCGGGAGCCTCGCCTCTGTCAGTGCGCCCCAGGGTGTCTGTGGCTACAATGTAGCTGCCATCACCAGTGTGTGAATGTGTGTGTGAATGGGTGGATGAATGAATGTATAAAGCGCTTTGGGGTCCTTAGGAACTAGTAAAGCGCTATATAAATACAGACCATTTACCATAAATGTCACATTGTGGAAA